TTCCAAATTATCAGTTATAATCACTGTGTCGTCCGCATAGCGTAGGTTGCTAATTGGTATGCCGTTCACCTTAATGCCTAATTCCGTATCTTCTAATGCTTCCGCAAATATATTTTCAACATATAAATTAAAAAGCATCGGAGAGAGTATGCAGCCTTGGCGGACACCTTTCCGGATTTCAAATTCATCCGTATATTGGTCTTGATCAATCCTCACCTTTGCCATTTGGTTCCAGTATAGATTCTGAATAATTCTGATCTCCTTCTGGTCAATGTTGGCCCTATGTAGTAGTTCCATCATGATATCATGTTTAACATTGTCAAATGCCTTCTCGTAGTCGATGAAGGTGAGGTAGACATCTTTTCGTTGATCTAAGCAGTTTTGTATTAAGGTGTTCAAACATAAAATTGCCTCTCTTGTTCCTAGTCCTCCCTTAAAACCGAATTGTGTTGACCCGCTAAGTTCTTCTAGTATCTTGTACATTCTTGAGTGTAATATCCTAAGGAAGAGTTTCAACAAGTGACTCATTAAACTGATTAAGCGGTGTTCATTGCATTTTGTGGCATTAGCTGTTTTTGGGATCATCACAAAGGATGACTGCAGCCATTCTCGCGGAATGTAACCAGTATCATAAATTCTATTGAACAGCCTTACCAAGATTTCGATATTCTCCTCGTCTAGTAGTTTTATTGCTTCTATATTAATTTCATCTGGACCTGTTGCTTTATGCATCTTTGTGGTTCTAACTGCATATTCTATTTCACTTCGCATTATTGATGGCCCTGATAAGTTTTCAGAAGGAAGTTCGGAAATTAATTCCATAGTTCTATGTAAAGATAGTGATGCCAGAGAAAAGAATTAATATCGAACAGAAGGTCATTCCTAAAAAAACTTAGTACCTAGTTACGTCCACTTGATCGAGTGAGAAAAAAATTGCAAATCGAGAGCCTGAAGTACCTAATGTAGACCAAAGGCAAACTTCTTCCGGAAGATGCGCTTTTTGTACACGCAAACAAGACAGAAAATCGAGGATAACGTGCAAGAAGTGTAAAAAATACATATGTCTAAAATATCAGTCAAGTGTCCCCAGATTGCATGAACTAAAACTAATAATTGTGTTTAATAATGTGAAACCATTGTTATAAAGATCTTGTACTTTTCTAAATATATCTGAATTTAGGTAGTAAAATATGTCAATTTTTGATGGGTAGTAATGCAGGGTTAAAGAGAAACTATTTATAAAAATTGAATATTTAGGTTGATGCTTTGGATGGATAGTGGCAATTGACAACTCAAAAATCCTAGGAAATACGCAGATTTAAATTTAATAACTACGAAATTGGTGACACTCAACACAAAAAAAAATGTTAATTAATCGTTAAATTTATTTAGAAAAAAACCAAAGAGTGTAAAACTAATTACGTTTCAAGAAACGATTAAAATCATATTAGCCTACAACAATGTCCATATCACGTACGCTCGTACATGTAGTGCGGTTAAGGTGAAGTCATTTTATTAATGAAATGAAATTTGTTATCTTCCAGTTGAATGTATTTATTATCTTATATTGTTAATTTTGTGAAAATATATTCGTGCGGTTTTACTGAAAATGTCAAGATGTGTTTTAGATGGAGATACTCATAATTTGTAACATACATAAGTACTTTATTGTGGAAAAAAAACAAGGGCAGTCCTTTAAAATCGGTTACCTCTGTACAAAAACGCGTGTGTGATGCTTTGGGAATTAGCGAATCAACATTAAGATCTGCAATAAAAAGCAACTAATTAACTAACTAACTGATGCCTATCTAAAAAATGCCGTTTATTGATTGTAAGGATCTAGCAATATGGTTCAGAGACCTGGATTCACTAACAAAAAGTAATAAACCATGTTATGATGTTTTGAAAGAAAATACTAAGGTGAATCTATAGAGCAATGAATGACAATGGAGTACGGAGAAGGCGATACAACTTCCAACTTTACAGAATATACCAAGAACCAGCTAGAAAATACCAGAACAAAATGACCCAGCTAGAAAAACACTCCTTGATAGACCCATTGATCAGAGAAGAAGAGGAAGACTCAGAACAAGGTTCCATAGTAACATCGACTAATACATGAGAAATATGGGAATACGTGCTTGGCGGAGGAAGGCGATGGATATGGATGACTAAAGAGAAATTCTTGAGGAGGCTAGGATCCACGCAGGGTTGTTAAGTCAGAATGATGATGTATGATCTAACAAAAACTACTTGCACTTGCACACTAAGTAGAATCCCAACACAGATATTTAATACACATGAAGACACAGAAAGTTCCAAAATATTACAATACAATAATTACAGAACCCTAGGCCTAATAAAATTTTAAATTGATTAAAAAAATTGGCGATCAGTAGCGCGGTTATATTGCCATTTAAAACTGGATGATATTAAAAACGAAACAGTAATTGACACAAATACTGGTACAAAATTTCGTAAATCCATGAGAAATTTACAGATCTGCATTTTTATTTGACTAAATGGTAACCCAATTTCCAATAAAATAAGATAATTTTGGCAACATCGCCATTCGTCCGTTCTCTTCAATGGTAAACTGCATACGAAACAGGCCGAACGCTATGCTATGTATTTCTTTTTGCCCACTGTTTATACAACAGAAGAACGGGTACAAATAATAAAATGATACTTTGGGGGCAATTTAGTACAAGAAACTATTAATTTATTTATTATGACTTTTGAAAATAGGCCAATACCTATAAAAAAAACTGTATTGGCTATTATTCATCAATTTAAAAGTTTGTCTGTATTAATGACAGATGTAAAAAATGCTGCCCAACAGATCAAAGTCGCAAAAAAAAATTCTCAAGAACGAGAAATTAGAGAAATTCAAGTTTGTACATTGACTGAAGCGACGCCGTGTTCAAGTAAACAAATTGCTGATGAAGTTGATTTGGATGCAAAAACAGTGAGGAATATTTTGAAAAGAAACAACTACCATTTTTATAAAGTGCAGACAACTCAAGAAATATTTCCTAGCCATCAAATTAAACAAATGCAATTTTATGAAATTATGATGGAGAGATGCTGTGCAAATAATAATTTTTTGAAAAATATTTTGTATACAGATAAGTCCTCCTTCACAATTCACAAGAAACATATTCCATCCGTTGTATGTTATTGGTCTCAGGAGAATATGCATTTGAGTGTGTCTGTGTATACGCAGTATCCACAAAAGTTGAATGTTTGGATTGGAATTTTGAGAGGCCATATTATTGGTCCTTTTTTCATTGAAGGCAATTTAAACGGAGTCAAATATCTCCAATTACTGCAAAATTAAATTATTCCTACACTTCAATGTCTTCAAATTAACTTCAACGAAATTTGGTTTCAGCAAGATGGCTGTCATTAGGGTGTCATTAGTACAGATGGTACAATAAAATGGCCCCCTCGGTCACCCGACTTAGCTCCTCTAGATTTTTATTTTTGAGGGATGCTAATAACGAAATTGTATAGGCATAAGTTCGAGCAAGCCACCAACTTGGAGAAACTGAAGGAAACAATAATCCAACTTAGCCAAAACATATCAGCAGATGAACAAACTCAACGCCATGAGAAATGCGTTGTATAATAGATCTGGTTACTGTTAGTTACAATTTGGTGGTCTATTTTTATTTGGTTTAGAATTTCTAAATGTTTGAAATTATTTTTAATTTAAACAGTAGCGTAGGAATTATTTTTTATTTGATTTCAATTTTATAGAACAAATTTTATACTTTTATACTAATTTTATCTTTTTTTTTGTTTTATTTTTATAGAACTAATTTTTATTTTCACACCTACTACCTCCAAAAAATCAAAACGAAAATATGGATTCAAATATATTATTTGGAAAATACCAAAATATCTTATCTTTAATTAAAAGACATAATTTTCGTCCAGTTTAAATATATAATGCTTTACTAGTACTGTCTTTATTTATTATGCTTTATGAAAGACCAACCCATCCGACACCCTGATAGAGTAAAAGGAAGGGGAGAAAGAAAGACCAACCCATGAACCCATGCAATATGCATGGCATACTAAATTAGTTCTGTTCTGTTCTTTTATCACAGTATTAAAATGAATAAATAATTTTCTCTTCAATATTTTCAAATAGAGACATACTTAACCCTTCAGTAATTGTGCACAGACTATTGCTCCCTGAAAAAGTATTTTTTATAATATTTTAATTGTTTTGTTTCAAATCAGTTGGCGAGTCTAGATAACTTTAGAATTGTACCGTCATTATTTAGTGTGTATCAAAACTATAATGAGTTTCCCAGTGTGAGTATTATTAGCATATGCAAAGTGCGAGCGTACAGCTAAGTTTGGGTAAGTTTTATTTAGAATGTATGCATTCTATAATGTAAAGTGTGAAATAAAAATTATTTAGGTAATATGACAGATTACAGGACAAAAATGTCTTCATCAGCTAATGGAAGAATATTTAGCTGTAGGCTAAAATTAACATTCCAAAAATGATAAAACAAGTAAACCAATAAACCAGTAAAAGGTGTAACAGACTCGAAAGAAAAAAGTTTTTACAACTAAAAAAATTGATATAAATTTCATCTCCGTAGACATTGTTCTGTCTTACTACACTAGTGCCTAGAAGCTATCTTATTCATAATTTTCACATTGGTTATTTATTAACCTAAGTTACATTTTGTAATAACTTGTATCCAGAATTTCAGAATAACAGTCAGTGGCAACTATTGGTGTCTCAAAAATAGGTGTGACCACCATAAGGTTTAATACTTGTAGGTTTAATATTTTCCATTGTTTACTACACCAAGATTTTGTTGAAAAATTGAATGTAATGTATAAATTAACCTGTATGGCTTCAATATCCTCTCATGGTTCAATATGATTGATAAAACAAAATCGTTAAAATAAAACTTCTATTTCAGACCATATTGTGTTATAGTAAGATATGAAATTAAAAATAAATTGTTTACCTGTGGTTGTGTTTTCTTAGGTTTTGGTGGAACAGCTGGTCCAACTTTCTTTCCTGGAGTTCCTACATTACCAGATCTTAAATCCATTTGATTTATAAGGGCTAATTCAGCCAGTTGTTTATCTAATTCATTCATTGTCAAAGTTCAAACTGCTACAACAGAAAGTGTATGTGTTATTGAATTTATATTTATACCAAATAAAGCATAAATAAAGCTATAAAATATTTTTGTATCATTAATTTAACCTTGTGAGATTGTTTAGAATATATTGTGCCAATGAATGTTTGCACTTAACCCCTTTGTTTTGAGAGCCAGCAGATTAAACTATAGTTGAATATTGGACTTTATGATGCCATACTATTGCATACTTAATTAAATACTAAAGATATATTGATGATCTTTGCTCAAAATAAATTAGAACTGGAGATAATAGGTTACAGAAAAAATATACTTATGCTTCAGGTAAAAAGCATAATTGGACACAGAAAAACGTAAACAAGTCTTTTTGTTGTGTACACTTTATCTTTAATACCTAAAACAAATGATCCTGAAATTGGCAAAAAACAACAATTTAGCAAAAAATACTCCAAGGCACGAGTCTAAACATGATAGCAGTTTTAAGCCAATATAATTGTAGGTCTCACCTTTTAACACTAAAGAAAATAAAAAATTTGTTTGTAATAGATTAATTCACACACTCCACCCAAACAAAAAGAATATTAAGGTATATTAAACTTAAACAGTAGTGGAAGTGGCAAGTATACACTTTCCTATGACAAATCGTAAACCAAACCAATGAACTCTTGGACGTTTGCTGTCATATTTTAGTACCAAGATTTGTCTGGTAAACTAAGTCGTAAGTGGTGTAATCTGAGAATGACTGAATAAGCTTTCCTAAAATGGTTTTATTTGAGGTATGCAGTTATCAGCTTGAATATTTACCTCACAGATAAATTTTCTAAAAAATGTCGTCACACTTCTTGAGTCATCGCATTATAATGGATATTTTTTCATAGAACATATTGTAGAAGGTTCTGCAACTGTTTTCTTGTGACATGTTTATTAGATATATTAATTAAACCACTGTTAAACCACAATCCACAATTGATTGTAATAAGAATTACATTTTTATATACAGTTGTTTTGACGTTTTGATTTTGATTTCCAATCATGAAATAGTTTTCAAAAGTTCTAAAATAAAGTTATGAGTGAATAATTTTATTTTAGAATTTTTGTTAAGTAGAATTTTCATTACAATCAATTGTGGTTTAATTCCATATAAAATAACATTTAACATTCTTAGAAGCGACTATCACTCATTATTTTAATTTTATTTTGAATTAGATTTTAAATTCTTTAATAATTGTTCTACCTATTGGTATTAACGTTAAGTCTTAAATAAACTTACTATACTAAACGCAATAAAATATGGAAAAAATATATTAGAGATAAAATCTATTAAAGCTTTAGTTTAGAACCAGATAATATTTATTATGAATTTTTATGCGTTAGTAAAATCTTTAAAAAAATAACACCCATAAAATATTATATATTATTTAATTAAGCAGCTTTACATCTAGCTATGCAAGTCTCATGCTATGCAAGTCCGTCTTGCATGGCACATCTCTTGTCTAGCTTGACCTTTTTACATCAGAGATATTTCTGTGCATTTTAGATCCCACTTTCATTGTTGCCAACAGAGAAAATATTTATCAATTTGAGGTTATTTTATTTTAAATAAAAAATATAATTAAGTACTAAAATAAATAATATAATAAATAAATATACACTATTTATGGTTATTAAAAGGGTGAAGGATGTCAACCAAAGAAAAGAAAACATTGTTATTGTTGAATATTGCTGTTGTAGCAACAATCATCCATAGTCAACGACTCACCCAGTCGTTTTATACATTAACTTTAGACATAGTATATCGATTTATCACCACTTAATAAACTTAATTTAAATCAAAACACAGCAATACACATGTGGGTTAAAGATAGAGATAAGGTTATGTTTTATTCTGTAATCTATTATAAATTGTTATGTTGGCAACATGAATTTTAACGATAAATTGCAAGAAAATTGCATGAAAAATAGAACATGTTCTAATTTTTCGTCTAGCACAGGAATTGCATGGAAATAGCCCGTGGGCATGCGCAGTTCCATGATCTGTCTTGCATGGCTCTTGCCTAGCATGAAAATAGCATAATGTAAAACTGTCTTTACAGCGGTTCTGAAACTGTTTTCTTGCGGCATGTTTAAGTTAAATATACTCATCTAATTTAGATAACGACTTACGTCATTATCTACGTCAGAGATCGAAGTTGACATAGTTGCCAAAGTATAAAAAAATCCTGACTCCATTTTAAATCAAATAGATTACATAATTATTGCAAAAGTATTACCATCTCTTTACAACGACTATTTAAATTCTTACGTGACATTTTTGAAATAAAACACACTAATTTTGTTCTAAAAAGAACAGATTTATTAAATAGTTAAAAATATAAACAAGAGATATTCACTTTAAAATTCAAAATAATGAAGTACAAAAAGTGTCAACACCGCAACTGTCAAATAAGTGTTACCAATTTATGCTAACATTTTAGCTATGTTCGATTACAGTTACAGTATGTTCCGAACAAATGTTCTTGATAAAAACGCTTTATAATGCATTTATACAATTAAATGAAACATATTATTGTGTATTTCTTTAAGTTAACATTAATAGAAATTTTTAAATATTATTTCTACGCGTATATAATAAAATATGTCTAGTGGCTGTAATGCCAGTGTACTCGGTAAAGTGATTCTAAAAAAGAACACACCTACACCCTAATATTTTGTGTTGGTATCATGTAACGTCACAGGCTATGACGCCGATGGACGTGCATCGTTATATAAATTAGATGAAGTGTAAATATATATGTATCATGTATCTATATGGAATTAAAGATTAAAACACAATTGTTTACACAATTAAATGTAAGAATACATTATAATAAAATTGATTTACTTTAAAGACTACCTTTGATTAATCTTTTTATTAAGTTAATAATTATTGATTAAATAAATAAATACTATAGGCTAGGTCTCTAGTTTGATTTTAGCCATCGAGTTAGGAATTAACTCGATGATTTTAGCATACATTGCGTTGTTTTCGTTGTTTTATATCAAGATTATAAATGAATATGAAAATGAATAGTATCATGTTCGCTGTTTGTTGTATATGTACAAGATTTGTAATTTGTAACCTAGAAAACTAAATGTAGAAGAATTTGACAAGACGTCATTTTTTGAAAAATACTATCAAAAATCTTGGAATCTTCATTTAATAAAGTTGGATGGTAATATTTTTCGTAAAGATTATATTATAACTCATCGGGAATACAGGATTAATCATGACAGAAGAACAGGCAACTATAGAAGGAAAGGTTAGTGTGTATAATTTTGTTTTAATTTTTTTCTGGTATGGAACTACCTATTAACTGAGATTCACATTTTATTAGCAGATTAACTACTGATTACTTACTACCTTAAATATTAGTATCTTTGTTCGTTTTTGATTGTATCTAATCTGATAATAATACATAATTAACCAGTGTTTTTTAATAGATTGGACCAACATATTGTAAGATATTAAGTTTGTTTATTGTGTATAGATTTACTTTAAATATGACAATATATGTCTTCTATAAATTATGTGGAGAACAAGGCAATATGATGAGTAAAAATTTCAGAAAACAAATATGAGAATGATTCCTTGGGTGTTCCTTGAGACATCAAAAATAATAATACTAATAATATAATAATAATAGTAAACTAATACCAAAGAATATAGATAAGCTTCTATATTCTTTGCTAATACCATACTTACTATTACTACTTACTATGAAATTTTTTGTAGAAGAATCTCTGTAATTGTCAATCTAGCATTTAAATTCTTATTTCTTGCAACTTTTCTATGTGTAGCTTTTATTATTATTCAATTTAAAGTTAATAATCTCGTTTACATCTCAAGAAGCCAAGATGTTCCGAATGATGTCTTGTATACTTAAATATAATAAACATTTATTTTATATTATATGTGTTGAGAACTTCACATACTTTGGCTCCCTTGTGACTAAGACCAACAAAGCAAGCCAAGAAATTAAAATATGAATAAACCTTACAAATAGGGCATACTTACTATGGATTACAAAAACAATTGGAAGTAGTTAAGCAGAAAATGTCCAACCCACAAATTGTTAAAAATGAGTTCTTTACACCAGCGACCATATAATTTCTTACTTTATAATATGCAGAAACTGTCCAAGTGAAAACATTACATACTAGTTTAATAATTGTCAAAGTTCTAACCCACAAACTAGGTTAACTGAGAGTTTCATTGATAATAACAAATCCAAGTGGGTTGATTTTTTTCTAAAAAATGTATGTCAATATAAGTAATTGTGTTAAAAGAGTGGTTAAAAAATGCTAAGTGGGTTGGATCACTTTAACGATCCATGAGAGAACAAAACTACTGTGCATTTTTTTGTGTTGAAAACATCCAAGTGAATTGGATGTTTTCTACTTGTAAATTTCGGTATACTTGTTAAAAATTAGAGTGCAATCAGAAATCGTCCAAACGACTTGGTATCATTTTACATTTACTATTTCATTAATATGTTAAAAGTAGTTTCAATCTTTGATTTTGGTCGATAATAAAATTTTATTACGGGATGTGCCTTGTTAATGTTTAAAACTAGTCTTGAGCGTGTAAACCCTGGAAATTGGTCAATAAAAATTAATTTATTATAGGTACTCATCTTATTTCTGATTTCATCTACATTCCTTTTTATTCAGTTGTGTCTGATTTTTCTGACTGTTTGGGTTTAAAAATACTTATTTAATAATAATTATGAAATAATTATGAAAATTATAAGTCGAAAAGAAGCAAATACATAATGTGAGTTAGCAAAATTTATGGAAAACCAAACAAATAGTGCTATATCTAACATGGAATTTGACTCAAATATTACCAATGTTGAGGTAAGTCAGAAATTTTTTATTAAAAAATACCTATATGTTAACTGATTATTTTTTCGTGGTTTTCAGCCAGATTGAAGAAATAACACAAAACTAAGAAATGTTCTGAGTTGATTTCTACAGAGTCACAAAAACAGGAATTTGATCGTTCTTGGAGTCTTGGGTCTTATAATGCCCAAACTATCTTCATTGCCAATAATATCCACGAAATGCTGAAAAAAATAATATGGAAGAAACACTGAAAGACATCTGTATTCCAGACAATATTCCTTACAAAATCAGCGTATTTATAGGCAAATGTTTGTCAATAGTCTTAGAATAACTCCGTCAAGAGCAACAACAGCTCTGAGAAAGATAAACAATTGTGCTCCAATTCTTGATCAAAGAGGTAGAAAACAAGGTGGCTTAACAAAGTCAGTGAAAATAAAATTCAGGAAATAATCAACCAGATCAATAAACTGCCAAAGTACATATCACACTACTGTCGTGAAAACACATCTGCATTATTTTTATCGGCACATCTCTTATTATTAAAGATTTATGATCTATACAAAACTAAAGTTCAATTCCCTGTGAAATTTGGTATTTATAAGCGGACTTTTTATGAAAAATTGAATTTGAGATTAATGTTCCCAAGAAGGACACATGCCAGGTCTCTATCTTCAATCCTGACCCCCCAGGGGGAGTGTAGTGGTCGACGTGATGTCGTGTATTGTCTGTCTCCAGAGATCTCTGTCTCTGGTCATTTCTTTTAATTCATGCATAGGTCTTTGGCATATTCCTGTAATTTGATCTATCCATCTTGTTGGGGATCTTCCTCGTGATCTTTGGCCTTCTACCTTTCCTTGTATTATGAGTCTTTCCATATTTTCTGTGTTTGCTCTCATAACATGCCCAAAATATTTTAATTGTTGGAGATGGACTTTACTAGAGAGTCGTTGGCTAACTTTTAGCTCTCTTAAAATTGAATTATTTGTTAAACGGTCGGTCCAAGGAATTCGTAACATTCGTCTCCAATAGAACATTTCAGTGGCGTCTATCTTTCTTCTCTCCGATTGTCTCAGAGTCCAAGATTCACATCCGTAGGTCAGTATTGGGAATATTAAGCAGTTGATCAACCTCATCTTTATCGCTCTTGAAATTTGACAGTCCTTCCATATTTTGGTCATTTTTGTTGTGGCAACTTTTGCTAGATCACATCTACGTTTAATCTCTTCTTGTAATGACCCTGTGTTTGTGATTAATGATCCCAGATATAAGTATGAGCTCACAACCTCGAACCGGTCAATTGTGGTTATGTGTGGATGATTGTTGTGTAGTCTATCCACTATCATGATCTTTGTCTTTGATATGTTTAATTGCTGACCAAATATTTGACTTTCGTTTTCGATCAGTTGTATAAGTTCCATCAGCTCTGCTTGACTATTTGCAAGAAGGGCTGTGTCATCTGCGAAACGTAGGTTGTTTAGTTTATGACCATTTATTGAGATGCCCTTTTCCCATCCTTCAAGTGCTCTTCGCATAATATACTCCCCATATGTGTTGAATAATTGTGGAGATAGTATACATCCTTGTCTGACACCCCGTTCTGGATGAAACTCGTTCGAAAGTGTGTCAAGTACTTTAACTGATCCAGTAGTGTGTTCATATAGTTCAGTTATAAACGTAATTAGATGTTGTGGTACGCCTACTTCTTTTAGTATTCGCCATAAGTGTCTCCACTTGACCCTGTCGAACGCTTTACGGTAATCTATAAAACAGATGTATAGTGGGATGTTGAATTCCCTAGATTTCTCGATTATCTGTCTTATATTCAGCAGGTGTTCTCGAGTGCCTCTACCTTGCACCATGCCAGGTATGTGATTCATTTAAAATAAAACTACAAAATGAAACGGATGATTATAAAAAGCAACTTTTACAAATTGAACTCGACACTCATCAGGATTTGGCCCAAAAATCACGAGAAACATTAAAGGCAGATTTAAAACGAGCTAAAGATGAGGATAATGTAGAATGTTTAACATCAGATTCAAAAAACTCTACCTTTACCCAGCATTCCAACCAATTTAATATATTATAAGAGGCAAGTTTGCGTGTATAATCTGGGTGTATTTTAAGGAAAACATAATAAGAGTTATTCCTATGTATGGCTTGAAGGAACTGCTGGAAGAGGAGCTCAGGAGGTTGGTTCCTGTATTGTAAGATATTTAGAAAACATAGAAAGTACTGTTGAACACCTTATACTGTGGTCTGATTCTTGTGGAGGTGAGAACCGTAATATTAAAATAACCTTCCTCATGGCCAGTCTTCTTCAAACCAGCCATAATATAAAAACTATTAACATTTAAATTCCTGATTTCCGGCCATAGTTTTCTACTAAATGATAAAGATTTTGGGATATAGAATGTCAAGTCAAATGTCAAGAATGAATATATAGACCTTTAGACTATATAAATATAATAAATTCATGTCGTAAAAAGTCTCCAATAACAGCTACACAAATGAAAAAGGAATGGTTTTTGAGTACCCAACAACTCGAGAAGGCCACAATAAACAGAAAAGTTGGCACTAATAAAGAAAAAATAAATTGGTTGGAGACAAAACAAATTATATTAACAAAAGAAAATCCTTACCACATCTTTATGAAACCTAGTTATTTTGGCAATGAAAGTGTATGTTTGGATATTGAGCGACGAGGACGATTAAACACAGAGAGCTTTTCGGCGCTGCATATGCAACTCTGGCCCAATGGTAAAGCCCTGTCAGAGGATAAAATTAACGATATTAAAAGCATCTAATACCTTCAGACGCTAAACCATTTTATAAAAATTATATAGGTGCTAATGTAGTCGAAGACGTTGATGTTCCAGTTCTAGATTTTGAGGTAGATACCCACAATAATTAAAACTTTTTTTAAATTTACAAGCAAAACATAATTTTGTTTCTTTGAATCATTAAAAATTTTATAAAAATATGACATTATTTATTTATCTGAAAGATTCAACCCACATAAGTATGTTTTATCGAAAAAATTTTCGGATTTTTGTTTTTTGTTAAAAACGTCCAACCGAAAATTTTCAAAATATCTTCATTCAGACTTACATTAAAAAAAATGGAAACGAGGTGCCTACGAGATGAATATCATTATCTTAAAATCATTGCCAGGCGACTAAATTATGCATAGTTTAGTTAGGGCACACTAAAAACTTTTAAACTCAATTTCCCAACAATCACTTTTTTTGGGTTGGACTACGTCCAATTCTACTTAGAAACATCCAAAGAAGAATTAAAATTATTATATACAAAATGCAGCTGATGCTGGTTCTCATATATGCCCCAGAAACATGACACAGGAGGCACATATTTAAACACAGGAGGATGAAAGACTTTTGGGATTATCTGTGAGTACAATACTCTGCAATGATATTTGGAGCTGTGCTCCAAACTTTACGCTCCTTTAACTCCCCAATATATAGATCATGAATATGATGGTATAGATATGAAAATAAAGTAAGGAGTAACGATATTATTTCATAACAAACCAAGAACCAGACTAACAATATATTAACAATTTTAAGGGTAACATGTATTTTTAGATCATAAACAAAAATAAAAACTTCCAGAATTCGCATCAAGCAGTAATTTATGGCACTTCAAAACTACACTGTTGAGAAACACTTTTTCAGCTGATAACATTCCCTATCAAAACAAAATTTATGTATTCATAAAAATATTAGGTATATGTAGTACTAACATTGATAAATGATAACAAGAAGATTTTGACTATGAATCTGCAATCAATAATAATTAAAATTCAGTTGATTTTAACAATAAACACAATTAAGTCTGGCTAATTGCCTCTGCCAAAGCCATTTTTCAGAAAAAAAAAAACATTCCCAATGCACTTAATCTTTCTTCTTTCTCGTAACCATTTCATCACAAATTTTTTGCATTGTCTTTTCAAATGTTTGCAGATCTTGTTTAGCCTTAATGGGGTTAGTATGAATCATCTGCAGTTGCTTTAAAATTATTTCTACAATGTGAAATCTATATTCTGTAATCTAAGTTTATATGCACTGGCTTGCTCAATCATTGAATTCAATTTAATACTTTTGTCATTCTCTAAAATATCTGTGACTTGTATCAGCTCATTTTGGTATTCATAAACTGTATTGATTCCATGTGATTGAAAATTCTATCTTGTGTGATGTTCGTGGTAATTGCTTACGAGCTATCTCATCAAATACCTTGGTTCTTTGAGGAGATGTAGTAAAAAAAGAACAAATCCCAGTTAAATGGGCGAAAAAAATCCCTATAGATGCATCAATTGCAGATATATGCTCATTTATAAGGTTTATCTCATGTGCATAGCAATGTACATAGTTTGCAAATGTATATTTATTTGGTAGGTCACTGATTACAGGATTATTTTTATTTAAAATACAATTTGCTATTATAATGTCATTCTGTCCGGGACGATTTACAAATTTCCAAAATCTTTCTACTGACTTATTCGATACAATACATATATCGAAATATAATGACTAACTGAAATTCGGTAGCCACATCTGTAGTTTCATCGACAATTACAGTCTAATAGTTCATTTTATATACTTTTAGAGGGCCCTTTAAATATTGTTGCTATTTAAACTGATTCTTTAAATCTTTATCTAGTTGAGAACTAAACTCTATTAATTATTCTCTATAAACGCTATAAACTATAGGTATATTAACCCGAAAAACTATTTTATTTGTTGATTCTTCCTGTTCATCGTGACCTGGCAATGCTAATTCTAATGCACCACAGAATCTTATACAGGTTATAATAATATTTAAAATAAACCCGTTTTTATCAACTTGTTTGTTTTGCATAATAACATTTTGTCTATAAGCCGAACTTAACATTATATTTGATTTTCCGAGCATAGAGAAACTAAAAATATTATTTATATGTTCCTTACTATTTTCATGAGTTTTATTTTCCCGTAAACATGCACTAAATCAATGATACCATGTCTTGCCCATGCAGACTCGCCCCCAAATAAAACACACACGAAACAGAAAAATGCATTTTGTTGATCACATCCATAAATCCACCTATTTTTTAAATATATATTTCTATTAAACTTCTTTAGACGGCAATTAAAATTTGAAGAGCTAGATGTTGAATAAAGCTAGCTTGCTAACTAAATAAGTTACAGTCCTTTGAAATGTGGTGTTACAGGAGGATGCTTAGAATAGCATGGACACAGAAGACAAACTAATACAGGAATATTGCGAGAAATGGGCAAAGATTGCGAAATAATAAACACAATAAAAATAAGAAAGTTACAATATCTGGGACACGTAATGAGGGGACAGCGATATTAACTGCTAAGGCTTATAATACAGGGAAAGATAAGAGCAGGAAGGAGTATAGGAAGGAGAGTGTCATGGTTGAAGAATTTAAGGGACTGGTTTAAATGCAGTTCTATAGAACTCTTTAGAGCAGCAGTAGATAAAGTAAAGATAGTGATGATGATATTCAACCTCCGATTGGGAGACGGCACTTAAAATAGAAGATGTTGAAGCTTTCTGTGTAATTTTTATATTTAAATCTAGAAGTGCTCTAACAAGTTCCTTGATTTAAATTGTGTCCTCAAACAAGTGAGTTTGACGAAGAAACAGCTAATTTTGTTTATTTTTCCTCAACACGAAACAGTAAAATTGAAACAACAAAATTCTTCGAAATCGAACACTTCAAACGTAATTAAAACGTTATAAATAAGCGAAAAACATTCTGATACACTAGCAAAGTTACATTTTAAAACACACTCGGGCCTAAGTTTGTCTGGCTCCGAAACATTCCATTTTTCGTATTGTTACACCGTCCGTAAGTTGACCACGTCTAACCGTTTTCTATGCGTTTGAAGTCTGAAAAATTCATAGTTCATACTGAAATGGGCTCGGGAATTTACTTCGCTTGAATAATTTGTTTTTTCGTGGAGATTAAATTATTTAATGATAAATAATGTATGTAGATAATGCATTGGTATTAAAAACAGCATAATAAAAACAAGTATTTTTAGTGATCAATATATTTTACGATCAATTATTTTTCAGAGCCAGTGCCATGGCCCCGTGGCCCATTAGGACTGGCCGCCACTCTCATATTGTATTACAGAGTTCTTGATTACCAAATACATTTTTATATGTTTGAAATAATATTAAATTATTTTTCTTTTAGCCAAAGTTACCAATCAGACATGACTGGTATCAGACTGATGCTGCAGTAGTAATCACTGTTTTAGTGAGGAATATCAAAGAGGAATATTTAAAATTAGATATTGCTACCAACAAAGTCACAATAGATATATCCCATCCAGATTTTGAACCCTGCAATTTGTGTCTGAATCTGTCTAATTCTGTAATATCTGATCAGAGTAGTTATAAACTTTCATCAGCAAAGGTTAGTATTGTTGCAATATTTTGCGATATATTTGAGTTATATGACTAAACAAATTTAATATCTGATGATTTTATTCCAGGCTTTATATCATTTAGTACTTTTTATTAAGAATAACTTTTTTTCATAAAACTCAAAATAAAAAAGTTTTCCATATGATGCCGACTTAGTTGGACACCCTGTATATATATACTAGGTGACCCAGAGTAAATTTTCCTTTTTAGTCGTACTGCATTAAGTTGTAAAAAGAGTTAGATAGATGGGACAAATGATGTGAGATAGTTTTGGATAGACAAGTAGATTTTGGTAGTAGCAATTGAGCAGTGAGGATGGAAACAACGTGCGTTTATAATCTAAGCATATTTCTAGAGCAATAATTCGTACACAGTAGCAAGATGACAGTTGTGTGCTCAGTATAATATTCATCACATAGCGGATACACCCTCGAAAAATGTTGTAAAAGCGTGGGTGGTAAACTTCGAAACACTCTTCAGCCCAAAATCAGACAAGCATTCAACGCATTTTAAAGCAGGATTTGCAGTTTAATCCATACAAAATTCAGCTTTTACAGTACTTAAAACCTATAGACGTTCCCAGAACAAAAAGGTTCTGTAAACCAATGATGAATTTCTTTTGGAATGATCGTAGCTAGAGTCAGTAATCTTTAATGATGAAGATCATTTTCATTTGGATAGTTGCGTCAACTAATCAAATTGCAGATATTGGTCACCTAATAACCCACAGGAAAAATATGCAAAACAGCTTCATATCAAAAAAGTGACAGTATGATGTGCGATGTCGGCAAACGGGATAATTTGTCCCTATTTGAAGATGCTCGCGATCGTGCTCTAAGAGTGAAAACTGCATGTTCTTCTGGATAGGTACTTACTTTTTTGCAGCAGCAGCTCTTCAGAACTTTAAAGATTATGATGAATCGACTTGGTTCCAATCAGATGGTGCGACAGCACATACATCGTACTTGTCCATAGATGAGTAAATGCTGTAAATGAATTATTCCCAGGGCGTCTCATCTCTTTACATGACCATATTGGCCTCCACAATCGCCTGACCTCACGCCTCTAGATTTTTTTTGTGTGGGTAGTTGAAAAGCCGCGTCTATGTTGATCCTCCTGCTACCATCATTCGTCTGAAACAACGGATTCGCTATGAAAACGCAAGTAAATGTGCGGTCGTATTCTTTTATGCTTTGGTAGTTTCTGACTTTGTCTTTTATAACTTTTTGATAATGGAAATTTACTCTGGGTTACCTTGTATTATCTTATGTTATATTAGTTTGTATACATTTTTACATAATCAGTGTAATAAGCTGTAACAATTATATATTTGAAATATTTATTAAAACTATATTGTAGATAGAAATCAAGTTAAAAAAATGTGAAGGTCTGAGGTGGGAAAAATTAGAAGGTGCTGCCAAAGTTGAGGCTATAAAAGTTATTCCAAAAGGTATGTTAAAATTAACCGTATTTTAACCATATTATATATAAATATGATGGATGCTTACGACGTTGAAAAGTTAAAAAATTGTCAAGATAAATTGAGTTATAACTTCATTGACATTGTTGCAGTAAATAGTAAATCGTATTAAGATGCCACAAGAAAATAGTAAATTGTTGTAGATGTAATTAAAATCTGATTTTAGAAGCAGAACCAATCACTGATGGTCCACCATCTTACCCCACCTCCAAGAAAGGAAAAGACTGGAACAAAGTTGAAAAAGAGATTAAGGAACAAGAAGCACAGGAGAAACCAGAAGGTGCCGAGGCTATCAACTTGTTATTTCAAGAGATCTATGGCAAGGGTAGTGATGAAGTCAAACGGGCGATGAACAAGAGTTTTGTAAGTATTTTTCTTCTATTTATGTCAGGGGCGGCCGGTCAGGATCGGCAGTGCCGACCCACACATTTATAGATATTAAAGTTTTGTTTATTATTTAATTTAATCAGTATTTCAATAACTAATTATCGCGGGTAATAAGTTGATGTCATTTGTGAGATAATACAGACTAAATTGTATTTATGGTTGTTAAAAGAAATCAATCAATTCGAGCATTAAGTAATCCCTACGCATCAACACACTTTTAAAATAATGATCCGAGATCCAATGCATTCGACTGGTGAATTCTTCTACAGATCCGTTTCGGCAAGCCGATCGCAAACTTGACGATTCACATGTAAAAATCAATGAAATATTAGTCGATAGGCAACAAATTTACATTTCTCTCCGTACGTATTTAAACGGTAAGTACGGCAGAAGTGAATTTGCGGATGCTTCATTGGTATTGACCGCAAATGAAATGTTATTTCGGCATAAGTACAGTGATAGTGCACTGACTGGCTTTCCTGAGAGCGTATCGATCGATTCGTTTTGTATTGATTTGTTTTAATTTTTTAAAGTAATACTGTGATAAGTTATCGTTGCCGTAAATAATTAAAGGGTTTTTTGATATATTTTAAGTTTTTTCTTTTTTAAAATTAAAGTGTGAACAAATTCAGGTAAATTAATCTAAAAAGTGCAAGATATGGGGGAAACTGTAGGCACTGATGAATCTGATATTGTAAATTATATTTTGCGAAATGGGTTTTCAATTATTCCATAAAAAGAACAAATTGATATTAACAATAAGGGGCATCCTTTGTCTAAAATGTCCTGGCTTATAAATATTAATGCGGGGGTATCGAAAGTAATAGATTATTTTCGGATAATTGGTACAGCAAGTACTCATGGCTTACTGGGAGTGAAATAAAAAACAAACTTTTCTGTTGGCCTTGCATCTTATTTTCGACAAATAGGACAAATATCAAAATTCGTGGTGTGAATCTGGTTACGATAATTTAAAGGAATTATTAATTTAGGGCTTTACAGAAACATGACATTTCGAAAGATCATACATACAGCCAGAATAAATTAGATTTGATTAGATTAGATACAGAAAGATCGCGAGAACGAATACATTTTGAAATTTTGGATATTATTATTATGCAGATAGATACTGGTTTGACTTCTTTAACGATTTAAAATTTAAAAGTTACGCCAAAGAATATCCAAGATATCTATTGGAAAAGTTAATTAAAAATTCTTTAAGAAAATAAAATTAGAAAATGAATTAAAATGTTTATATGCTGATCCAAATATTTTCGGAAGGTGGGATAAGTTACAAGATATGTATAATTTTATATACTACATTTCATCACAACAAACTGTTGTCGAAATCAATAAGTTATTGTCATTAATTCTCTCATTACCATCAATTTCTGCCTCAAAGGAACGGGATTTCTCTTGACTCAAAAGAATCAAAACGTATTGTCTAAACACCATGAAACAAGAGAGAATTTCAAGCTTGTCTCAAATGTCAATAGAAAAAAATCTCTCAAAAACTAATAAATTTTATGATGACGTTATAATCTATTTCGCTACTTCCAAACAACGTAGACTAGAGTCTAGAATTTATAAACATGTTGAGGTTTTACATTTATAGGAAAAAAAAACAAAAAATCTACTATGATTATTGAGCCTTTTTATTAGACGGGATACCTATCTGAAGAGACAAAAAAATCTTTCCGATCTTGTCTCTCGATCCGTCACTGGTTTATATTAGGTCCATGACCTGTGTTTATTGGGTTCTATTTAAGAATATGTGCGATTTATATGACCAACTACCCTGCTAGTCTCCTTGATGGCCTTACGTCTCAGTCTTGACTGGTCTGTCATCCTTTATTCTCGGTACATGTCGGTTCCACTTCATTTTTTTTTCTCTTCCACAACGTACTATGTCCTGAATATCGCATTGTGTTTATCCTAGTTTTTAAATTGGTTCCACATAATTTTTAGTACTGGATTAGTTATAGTCATAATTATTATTATAGAATCAAAAGCTGATTACAATTTTTTTAGATGGAGAGTAGCGGCACTGTTTTAAGTACAAATTGGAATGAGATCAGTAAACAAACAGTTGAAGCCAAACCCCCAGATGGAATGGAATTTAAAAAGTTTTAAAACAAACTCGTTCGGTTTTTAAATCCATGGTTTAATTAAATTTTAGTTATACAAAAGATATATTCAGTTTAATACTAATTAAAAAGATGAGTTTGATATTTCTTCCGCAATATTTGTAATACAGTGTTTAAAAATAAATAGTTTAGAGTAATGTTTTTGTTTTATTTTTCCAAAATATTGACGACTTTCAAATGTTCCTTAAGCAGAGTTCAATCAAATTTCCGATTTTCCTATTATAGAAGTTTGGTAATGATCTCGTGAAATGGTTTCCTACATTTTCACGCATGAAAGTTTTTCCAAATAATGCCAATAATGTCAGTCAGTGAAGAACAACAGGGCTTTCGAAAAAAAACCGTACACTATCGATATAATGATTTGTAAGTCAAATAATTAAAAACCTCGTCGTTAAAAGCTAACCTCAAGTATCAACATTGTACGCTGTTGCTTTCTGCACATGTGATGGCTGCTATATAACATAATGAGGACATAAGAAATGGAGTATGGGTATACATGTTGTCTAGAACAACGCCAGTTTCTCCCTTTCAATTTGAGTATATATATTACGAAATATAAGAGAAATAAGCAAGTGTAATATAGTGAAATATATAATAGCAAATGAAATAATAGAAGAAAATATCACATATACATTGAATTCTAACTACACCAATTTCTACAAATTTAAAATATGCGTCTTAATACATATTACAACAAATATTTATTTAAAGTTAGTGTTGTGGATGTCTCTTGTCCTTAACACAAGAAGAGAACCAAACTTTTAATTGGTTGATTATAAAGCTCGTGATTGATTAATTTTTCGTCGAAGGAGGTACTAATTCGCTTAGATTTTTTAACTAGAAATGTCTTCTCCGTCCTATCGCTCTTCTTTCACTTATTTCCTTATTCCAAGTTGCATTAATTGATATTTGTCTTCTGTTATAATGTATCCCAAGGTTTAGGGGGTTTGGAGAGGTAGGACATTCGTAATGGTTTAAGTGGACACTGGTCCTCACAAACTCCCAGGGCTAGTTGATGTGAATATCTCTTTCAAGTGGAGTCTTAACCTCTCACTAGTCAAAACCATAATGCCTGGTGAGGAAGAGCCACATCCTTCACGAGATAACCCTGTTAACACAAAACATTACGAATCTAGACCGGTAGCTCGATAACTGGACGAGATAAGCAGCGTGTGTAGTATCAAAATGAGCTAAAAGAAAGATGGGAATATGCTTATCATGAGCTTGCCATGAGTTCGCTCTGAAGAAGCCAAGAGGCTGAAATATCCATATCAGCGAACGGTGATACGAAATCAAACCTAAACCATCTATTTTACTTGTAAAAGAAAGATCTTTGTACTAACCGGATGTGCTAATGTGATTAGGCAGGCAAGAGGAAACCACTATCTTCCCATGATTTAATCATCATGGATCATACATCGAAAGTTTTAGGGATGCTTAGCGATCGAGGCTTAGTTAGTTCCGAGACAATTCGTGTGTGATATGCTATCGGGCATGTGTTTGTTAGCGACCAGACAACACGTGCGAAATTGGCGTCTGGGAGAGAATCAAGTTTTCAGTTAGGAAAGCAAATGGGAAGGATTATTGCAACCAGGAAAACTATGAGAGCATATACAAAAAACTGAGTCATTACTAAGAGAACATAGAAGTATGCGGACTTTCAAAGACTCATTGGAAAGGACAAAGGCACTTCCTAACGGCAGATCGTATTGTACACATATAAAAAATAATATAGGAGGAAATCGAGTTGCCATGATGGTAACTAAAAAATTTTCACAGTACGTATATGATTAGATACCGACCAATACACGATAGACTAATAAAGATAACTTTACTTGCATCTCCAAACAAAATACGTATTCTGGCGTATTACACTGTAGTGTTCGGGCTATTAACAATGTATCGTCTGCAAATCTTAGATTGTTTAACTGTGCTTTCCTTATTTGTAATGCCAAATTTCTGATCAGCCAATACTTTATTCCTATATTTCGAATATATGTTTAAAAGGATATGCGAAATAACGCAACCCTGATAATCTCCTCTATTTATTTCAGCATCTTGAGTTGTTTTATCTTTTAATCGCGAATCAGGTGACCATGGCCACCTTGATCGAAGTTCTTCATGGTCAATATAGTCAATAAAAAGTATAGATATAGAAGTAATATAGTCAATAAAATGTAACTATATACTTTTAGTGACGCACCTAGTGGGGGGTTTTGGGGGTTAAAATCTTCCCCTTCCAGGGCATATAGATCTAAGAAAATGTATCTTATCTTTCACACACAATACAAAAAAATCCAAAAGGCTAATTTAATAATTAAATTGCCGCTTTAAATATGTAGAATACAATAATTATTGTTCAAATGCACAATAATTAATAATTATTATTGTGTGCTTTTATATATTTAGAAAGAAGCTTAAATTATAAGATTTGGAAACATTGCCAGCCGAATAATTACACAGTAATATAGAAGTGACACGTGCCTTTGTGTATCGGATGAAAAACTTCGGGAAGTCACCTAATTTCCATTTAATTTTATGGTCTATTTATTTGCCTAAAAAATGCGTCTGCGTTGTCTATGGCGAGTAGCATGCGCCTACAGGACTGTATCTGCGGCCGCCTCGTGAACTATCACGGGTTGTGTTCCTCTGCATGTGTTAGCGATAGAAAGGAGATATCTCTATGAGAGAAGAGAGCATTTGACAACAGCCATAAAAAAGAAGAAAGGGAAAGATCAATGGAAAATGGCAAGAAGAGTGGAACAACACGGAAGATGTTGCCCAATGGACTAAGATGCAGATCTCGAGCCTAAGGGACTGGGTAGATTGTCTGTTTAGGATGTATCTTCGTAGGTTCAGAAAGAATAAATACCTAATATTGTTTTGAAGCTATTTTCTTGTGGCATTTTAAATTAATTATTATTTAAATGGGAATAAGCCACAATTAAATGTTAAAGTACGTTTATTGACGCTTCAATGTCCACTTCGGAAATCGTTCTCAAAATACAAAAGTAAATTAAACAATTTTTTTTGTTACTTAGTGAAAAATTCTTCTAATAATTTAATTTTATCTGACAGACATACATTATACATTTTAAACTAGACGACTATTTGATTACAAATTTAACTTGAGAATATCCGTTAAAATTATGGTGTTAGTGATTCCATAGTAAATTATGAGGGAAAAACCAGGAAAAAAACATAATATTATCCCAAAATGGTAAGTGTTTGGTCGTGCATTTGGTTTACCTTCAATAAACACCAAATTCTGATTTTGTATGTTTGTTATTTAAAAAACACAAATGATGTATCCTCTATATGCTACTGACTTACCAATACTGGTTTTTCTTTTTAATAACTTCCTCTTTCAATATGGGTAACCAGATCCAACTACATTCTGCCGAGGAATTTGTGACACAATTGGTCTCATTTAGTATAATTAGAGCCGCTTCTTTGATTTTTTACCGTCCGTTATGTTCATTATCTCATGCGTGTTTACATATTTGAGATTTATCAAATTCTCTATTTTTAATATAAGATTGATGTTCACTTATTCTAACATTTATTGACCTTGATGTTTCACCTAAATAAAACTGATCGCATTCACAAGGTATTTTATAAATGCAATTCTTTGTAATTTCTTGTTGCTTGTTAGGTTTGGTTTTGGACAAAATAGATCTCAACGTGTTTGTTGTTTTGAATGTTGTTGAAATGTTGAATTTATTTCCTATCCTTTTAATATTTTCTGATAATCCTTTTATTATTTATTTATTATAGTATTATTCCTTGTGTATGCTGTAAGATCTTGTTCTGTTGTTGTTCTGTTCTATTCGATCGATTGTTGAAAATTCCTTAGTTATAAACGAAAAAAGAATAATCATTTTTTAATAAAATAGATGTTAACAAATGTTTCTCCTCCAAGAACGAATTTTCGTTGGAACAAGTAATTTTGGCTCTATCGTATAAGGATTTAATGATTCCCTTCTTAATATTAATATTGTGATCTAATTTGAAATTTAAATATCTGTTGGTGTGTATTGGTTTTCTATACACCTGAGTCTCATATCCAGTATCGTTCTTAGAGATTAAAACATCCAGGAAAGGTAGTGTCTTATTATATATGAAGCCATATTGAGAATTTTACTGTCATCTTGGCATGTGTTTGTCTTTTTAAAGATGAATTGCATGCTATGATTTTTCTGACGGATATTCTCAAGTTAAAGTTGATTTCATGTAATCGAATGAACTATGTTATAAGTAAATTACCTAACTCAACAATATTTTTAACATCATTTTAAAGTCGTCTACTTTAAAATGTATAATGTATGTCTGAATTGTCAATATAAATGGGTTAGATAAAATTAAATTATTAGAAGAATTTTTCACTAAGTAACAAAAAAACAAAATTTGTTTAATTTACTAATGTTTGTATTTTGAAAACGATTTCCAAAGTGGAAATTGAAACGTTTAATTGTGACTTATTCCCATTTAAATAGTATTTAAGATAAACACCTACATTGCAAATATTCCGACACTGTTGCTCACACAATTCTGTTGTATAATAGAAATACAGTGGAGAGAAACACAATGGATGTGTGTACAGAGAAATAGGTATGAACCCTGTGACAGTAAGAGAGATGATCGTGAAGATGACGGGAAGTAATCCAAACAGTAGTAATTAAAAAGAAAGAAACAGAAGAGAAACACCAACCGGACCAGAGATAAGATCTAGATAAGAGAAGGGAGTGTTCCAAAAATGTCGTTAGCCTTACAGCGGCCATCCAACTTTCGGAGTCAGATGTATGGTATGTGCAACATTCAACCGCGCACAAGTAGGAGAGGGTGGTTTTAATTGGTAGACAGGACAACAGATACTTGAATCTTTGGCACTGCTATCTTTAGTACTTTAAATTAAACTAAAACTCAATTTTTAAGGATTCAAAATGGAGATAGCATAAAAAAAATCGGCGGTTAACCAATCCCCCACCCAGGAAAATTCTATGTGCGCCACTGTATACTTTTGTTCATGCACAGAATACACCAAGCCATTGGGTTGGTGTATTCTGTGGTTCATGTCTACGTACATTTAATATTTTTCTGTAACGGTACTGTAATGTGATCTAATTTAGTGCTGTATTCTAAAGACCTTTTTAAAATATATTATTTCGTAAAACTTAAACTGGCTATCTCATTTATTATATTGAAGTACGGAGAATTTGGCTTCTCTTTTGTATTTGGGTCAAAAATATACACACAAGTAAGTCGCAATACAATAGAATGATTTATTGGTACACCCTCTCGGACCACCACTTAGAGGGTTCCTTAGCTCTGACCATCTCAACGCACTTACTTCTTCGTAAGACAGTGAACTAAACGCTCCATAGACCGGTCTCGTGTTATTAGCCTCGGCGTCCCAGGCCGCGGCGTCGTGATGCCCAGCTACCAACTCTTCAGCCTGTTACGAATTCATCAATAGAACCCAAGGGTAAGTCTATGTTCTTTGTACAAAACAACAATAATGAGTAAGACCATTTAATTTCGTAATTTATTTACAATTGATAGTTGCTATTTTCGCTTGTACAAACGATATTGCATTCTTTTCTTTATAATTATTTATCCAATATCATTTAACCAGCGACCTAAGTTTAATCCTAAACAGTATCATTGGAACATGACATTAAGCGCAAATAGCGCTTTATTTCGTAGATGCTTAGAACATTTCAAAATTTAAAATGAAGTTTTGCTTATACATATCATGTTTTAGCTTTCTGTTCATGTATCACTTTTAAAAATGCTTTTCATCTTAAGATCGTCATTATTATAGTACCTAGGTACTTTAATCTTGGAACTGTTTAGCATTTCTTTTCTTTGGTAGCGTTATAAAGGTTGATGTCAACTAATCTTGTCGTACGATTTCTGATTTATGAATGCTGTTGAAAAAATCTACTATTACCTAAATTTGCTCTTCTTCAATATGTATAGGAATTTTGGTTCGTAATTTGGATCTGGCGCTTTTTCGTCTTTCAGCGGGTATAAAATGTTTCCTTTGTTATTTTATAATCTTTATCTTTGTTCGTGTGTTCAAGAAAACAGTTTTGTCTATGAGCTTGCGTGCTTAAAAAATGGTGCGTTATAGGGACTTCGTATCTAATACTCAATACGGTTTTAGAAGGGGATATAGTACTTTGGAGCAGTAACTCATTTAGTAAATGATATCCTAATTACTTTTTCTGGTAACAAGTATTTAGCTTATTTATTCCTAGATATAAAAGGGGCTTACGACTCTGTAAATATAAATATACTTAAACAAAAAATGATTAGGATTGGTCTTAGTGAAACGACTGTCCTAAATATATCGCAACTATATTTTTCTAGACTATATTGTGTCTATATTAGAGATCATAGAAATGTGTTACATAGTCCAAGGATTGTTTATCATGGATTGTCACAGGGATCAGTACTTAGCCCTATATTATTTAATATATATTCTGCCAATATTCATTCACTATTTCATAACTCCGTAAATTGCATACAATATGCAGATAATATCTGTATATACACCATTCAAAATAGTTATGAAGCATGCACGAAAGCTCTTGAGAATATATGCATAAAGTAAGTATATGGACAGAAGAAACAGGCATGACTCTTTTAACAGAAAAATGCTCTATCATGTTTTTTACCAGGCATAGACTACGTGCTCCAAAGAGATTAACTCTATGTTAACGTACCCTGTCGGTAGTTAACGAGTTTAAGTATTTAGGTATTATTGTTGATACCAAAAGTTACTATGGTCGAGCCACATAAGTCACTTAATAAACAAATGTGAGAAAGTCTATAATTTGTTCAAGTGTGTAACAAATCGAAGTTGGGGGGGCAGCTCCTGGAATAGCTTTATTCTTTTATAGAGCCTACGTGCGACGTACTATCATTGACTATGGATGTTGTTTATACGGATCCTCTTGTAATAACAATCTAAACAAAATAAACAGAGTTCAATATAAATGTCTTAGAACTTGCATCGGTGGGATGGTATCATCACCGGTGAAAACAATACTGGCTGAGTGTAATGAATTACTTTTCGATTTGCGTCGGCAGCTGTTTGTAAAATTTAAAATATCTTTTAAAACTAAAATTTCTTAAGTCAAACATGATAAATGCGTTCTTTCTTAAAATATTTAATATCAATTATACCGGAATTATACTTAAAAAAATAAAATTTCTGTTATTATGTATACGGAAAATTGCATTGCTAAAGATATTTGGATTAATATACCGGGTGGTGAATCGCCAAATGGGCCATAGGAAACTCAATGGAAAATTCTAAATTGTTGAAATCCCCGAATTAAGTCGTCATGTAAACCACAGGCGCCTGAGGAAAAACGCCAGAGTTTATGCAACTAAACGTATTTAACATTTCTGTCAAAATAAAAATAAAATCTGATTTTTGACAACCAGCATTTTAAAATATAGGTTATGTCAGTTATGTGAAGTTTTTTTAAATTATTATATTTCATTGAATTAAAATGTTAAGACAAATACATCGTTATTGCAAGCCTCAACACGTCGATTTTTTTCTCAAACATAAAAATGTTTCTAGGCCTATAATTCATTATTTAAGTTTAAATAAAAATACATTTTTCTGTTACAATCTTAAATCAAGTTTTCATATCTCTTCAAGTAATAATAATGTATTCATAGATCATGAAAATATTTATGCACATAAAATAGTTTGTAAAGATTCCGTCTGCAGCAATTTAATAAATGTACCAGAAAGTGATATCTCTTCAACCAAACACTTTCAGGAAGTTCTTGATCAAAATTGGAGAGACTCTACTATAAGCGATATTGTTAATGCCTTTTATCGGGTAAAAAATTTTTGCATTAGGAACGATATACCTATTTCAGATACCAGATTTGACAATTTAGTGGATGGTTTAATGGACAATTGTGAGCACATAAACGATGATCAATTAATTGGTTTACTGTATTGTCTATCAGAATATCCTTCTGTAGAATCCTACAAATCACATAATTTTCATGATGTGTGGAGTTGTTTGGATGATATCTGTTGTTGGAAGATAATTGAATGGGACACAGACAAAAGTTTCACAGTTGCTGATGCATGGTACAAATTGCGTTTAGGTAAGTTTTAAAGTCAGTTTTAATTCAAAATAGCACTCATGATATATTTGCTCATTATTTATTAATCAAGTAAGACATTAATATTTTTTGGTAGCATTTCACAATCAATTAATGTTATTTAGGATGCTGATGATGTGTGAAAAAGTTTGTTTATTGTTTATATTTACTCTGGTTAAATGTTTAACCTCCCTAACAATCAACAATTTAAACCTTTTAAAACTAGGTAGATAGGAATAAAAATGATAATGAGTAAAGAGCACTAACAAAAAATTATTGTTACCTTTTTCTAATTTTTTTTTACAAAAAAATCAGTCATTAATCTAAGGACTTTTCAGAAACAAGTTTTTAATTTTTGTACTGATTTTATAATAAATTGCAATTTAATTCTCCATTATTTATTTAAGGATGTCATACTATTTTTTTTAATTACAGGTAAACATTGTGATTATATTTATACACTTATTAACAGAACAGCGAAGAGGGCTGATGCTCTCACCAAAGAACAGTTACTTAGCATTTATTTCTACCTCAATGTCTACAGAAAAAGAGCTGTGGACTTTGAATATGAATTTGCTCTAGAAAAACTTGTGAATGATATGGACATTGATGAGATGGGTGTAATTGCCATGGGATATTTTAAAACTAAAACAAAAATTAAGCTAATAAATATTCAAGAAGCTTTGGCAAAAAGAGTAATAGAACATTCAAGTACTGCACATGATATAACATTAACAGCAATATTAAAGGTACATTTTTTTGCTAAAATGGTATTTTAATATAGGAAGATAGAGCAGTTGTATTTTATTTTTATATTTTTTGTTATTTCTCTTATATATGAGAGGTTACTAAGTTTTGTGTAGTTTAGTCACTAAGTTAGTAATAAGTTTTGGTGTGATATAACGTCAGACTTTTCAGACAGACTAACAGACTGCATAGTTTTCCAAAAGAAAAATATGAATTAGTTTTTGAGTCAGTAGTGTCCAAATTAGATATAGATAGGTAAATTATTTGTTAGTTTTTCAAAGAAGCAGAATGCATTTATTAAAAAATGTTGAGGTACATTTATTAAAAAAGGTACAGCTAAGAATATTTAATATCAAACCAATGAGTGGGAAAAGGTGGTAGATAGATAGATAGATAGATAGAATTTATTCATTCACAAAGTTTACACAATTCTTACAAATAAAAATGTATAAATCATATCAGACTAGTCAAAATGTTAGTACAAAAGAGTACAATATATAGCAAAAGTACACATGATTAAAATAAAACAGTGATTACAATAAAATAAATAAGAAATAAAAGTTACAAATACAAGTTACAAATACAAATTTAGAACTATTGTTGCAAACATGTTAAAAATTTAAAAATCCATCAACACTGTAGAATGTGTTCTCCATTAAAAACGAATACACAGTTTGGCGAAAACCTTTATGTGAAGAATTACTGAGAGTTGATATATTGACTATTTTATTGTAACATTTTATTCCAATATATTCAGGTGCATGTTGGGATACACCTAATCTAGAGAAAGGTTGTCGAAAATTTGATTTACCCCTAGTATCATGTGAGTGAATGTCCTCATTTCTGACAAACTTGAGCCTGTTTTTCTCAATGTGCAATATTAATTGGAAAATTAAAAGGCTAGATAGTGGCCAGATAGTAGCTAAACTATTAGACTTCTTAAATAGTGGCTTGCAACTATCTGAAAATGGAACACCATACATACTTCTTAAAACTTTCTTTTGAGCTATAAATGCACGTTCAAAATGAGATGAGCAACCCCAAAATATTAAGCCATACTTAAGTACAGACTGGACTAAACTAAAGTAAATCATTTGCAATATATCAAATGAGACAGTTTCTCTTAAATTATGGATTATATAGCTACATGTACTTAACTTTGCTGATACATGATTTACGTGAGTTTCCCATGTAAGTTTATGATCTAGGGTTACCCCCAAAAATTTCGTTGTAGTATAACTTTCTACTGATTTGCCATCCACATGTAAATAAAAGTCAGAATTTGGAGTTAAGTTTTTTGGTAAGAAACGCATAAAATGTGTTTTTGTTACGTTGAGCTTGACTCCATTATTTTTACAATATATGCTAAATTCAGCAGACACAACATTGGTATTCTCCACCAGTTGTATGGGTTCACTGTGAGACATGAGAATATTGGTATCATCAGCATACTGAACAATTTTATCTGGCATTGAACAAAACGTGTTTAGCTCACTTACAAATATAATGAAAAATAAAGGCCCGAGTATTGAGCCTTGAGGTACACCCATCGTACATTGAAGTGGCCTCGACGTTACATTTTCCACTGTGACTACTTGAGTTCTATTACTTAGATAAGATAGGGCCCAATTGTACTGTATACCATGTACTCCAATACCCTGCAATTTTTGTAGTAAGAGTTAACTATCAACCGTATCAAATGCATGACTCAGGTCATAAAAAAGACCCAACACATTTAATTTATCATTTAATGCTTTATAAATAAATTGAAGACAGTCAGAAATAGCAGTATTTGTAGATTTCTTTTTTCTAAACCTGTTTTGAATAACAGGAAGAATTTTAAAATGTTCTAAATAATCTGTTAATCTATTTGCATAGGCTGCTTCAAATATTTTAGAGAACTGACTTGACACACAAATCAGCCTATAGTTGGCAATATATGTTGCAGATCCTTTATTTTTAAAAATAGGGATTCCTTTATATCTGTAAATATTCTGCATGTAAATGATTCATTTATGAGATAAGATAGTGGTAAAGCTATATATGTGGCAACATGTTTCAAAGCTTTTCCATCAATTTCGTCTACCCCTGCAGCTGTTTTAGAAGCAGTTTTTAATACAATAGATATAACTTCTTTTTAAGTGGTTGGTAATAAAAAGAAACTTGAATTGAATTGGTCAATTTGTGAGGTACGGTTAACAAGTGATAGTTCATTATTTTTTACAGCATTAATAAAATAATTGTTGATTTGATCAGCTTTGTGATAATTTTGTAAGTCACCGTTTGCTACTAAAGTATATTAAATTTTGATTTGATTGACAGTTTTTACCTCTATTTTTATTAATTATTTTCCAACTTTCCTTCATTACATTATTGCTATTTCTAAATTGATTATCATATTGTTCGTTTTTATGTTTTTTAACAATTGTTTGATATTCTTGTTTAAATTTCTTGTATTGTTCCGAATACTCTGGGTTATTTAGTTGTTTTCTTAATCCATTCATCTGACACAATTGATCATGCAAACACTTAATATGAGGTGCCAACCACGTTTTTTGTTTTGGTCTGGTAGTTAGTCTACATTTTAAGAAAGTAATATTATAATAATACAAGAAAGTATAAAATATTGAAAATTTTTCTTCAAAACTACTAGCCACATATAGATCACTCCAATCAATATTAGCTAAAATATTTTGAAAAGTTATTAAGTTGGCATCGCACAATTTTCTGGTAAAAACAGTTTGAGGATTTTTTCCAGCAACTTTCATATCAAAAGCACATTATTGATAAGTATGATCTGATAGAAATGTGTCACATACCTTTTGAACATCTAAATTGGAAAAAAGTTGTCAATACACGTTGAAGAATTTTTAGTAATTCTAGTAAGTAGGTACATTTATGTGAAATTTAATATTGTATTCTAAAAAATAAGTTTATTAAAATATTTTTCTGATTGCTATTTTCTAAAAAATTGATATTAAAATCTCGACATATAACGTAAAAATCATTATTGTTATAAATACTCTGCAATAATAGTTCTAACTTAGTAATAAAAGTATTAAAAGTCACACTATAAGGAGGTCTGTATATAGTTACAATAAATAAATATTTTTACTTCCATGAACTTTAAATTTTACTCCACATATTTCAACTTTGCTTTCAATACACCATTGACGTAAATTTAGCTGTTCACAACTAAACTTATTATGTACAAATATGCATACACCTCCACTTTCTTTATCATTTCTTGCGAAATAAGACACTAAATTAAAGTTTTCGATATTGGTTACTTTAAGTTTATCTTCTTTCAAATAGTGTTCACTAAAGCATAAAACATTCACATTATTACTTTGAAGTATCAAATTTATATCGTAAGATTTACGTGCAAGTCCTCCCTGTATATTGCAGTGTAAAATAGGGAAATATAAGTTTGTCGGTTTACTTGCATTAATACTTCGACTTCGGATATTTTGATGAACTATGGAAGTTTGACATTTACTTTGGGTTTGAAAGTCCCTAACGAAGAAATTATTTAAAAATCCTCGTAGCGACGATTATATTGTTGGTATTTCTGGAAATCGAAACACTTGTAAGCGACAGATCTTGTCCAAGTCGACGGTTTATTAGATTTCGTCTTTTAATTCGAACTTGACACCACACATAAAACATTTGTTTTGGTTTTCGTTAGTTGGTAGTTCTCTAATGATAATATCAGCCTCTTTAAACACTTCCTGATCTTTTAGATAATCGAAGATAGTTTCTGTTGTGACACTTCGTTTAACTCTAGAAAGGTAAAGCCAAGCCTTTCTTTGAACTCCTAAGTCGGTAGTTTTATCATTATCAAAGTTTGCATTTTATTTAGCTGTGCATTACTAATTTCTGCAGATGTTGAATTATTATCAGGACTTCTACTACTTTCGGCAAAAGCTGGCAACACCGGTGTTTGGAATTTATTTGTAATTTTATAATTTGGAGGTAATTGTTTGATATGACTAAGGTGTTTTTTGTTTGACTCTTTTAAAACTGGTTGTTTAACAGATTCAGTTTTTGCTTCCATTTGGCTTATCTTTTCTAGTAAATTTTTCCTCTTTTTCTTTTATTATATTTTTAAGTAGCTCATTTTCTTTGTATAGATTGCGTTTACCTTGGAAATTCTCCTCAACATCATTTGATTTCTCGTTTGTTTCACAGCAAATTATTCGTGTGTCACAAATTTTGATACACTGAAGCTTACTTCTGGTTGCACATGACAAATGAAAAACATTTCCACACTGTACACAAACTAAGATTTTAGTATCTTTACTTTGACAGCACTTAAATTGCTTCTCTAGGAAATTTTCGTCACTAACTAGAGAGAGCACATTTAAACGCTGCTCACCAGTCGGCGCCATCTTGAATATGGTTCACTCAGATTGGGAATACTTTGATCATCATGGTTGGAAACATACAACCCAAAAATTCCTTCCATACTTTATTAATAACTGAAGTAAACTTACTGTTGCAGACTTCTTTAATTGAAAGAAGAAGAATAATTAATTTTGATCAATATATTTTATAGTCTTAATCTTTTACAGATTGAATTCTTCTGTCTAATCCCTGTGTAATTCTCTTCTTCTCTTCTTTGGGTGCCGTCTTCTTAGCGAAGGTTGGCGATAACCTCTGGAAAGTTTTCCCTATTTTGGGCTTTCCTTATTAAATTTTGAAAGTCTAATCCTGTCCAATCTTTGATGTTGCGTAGCCAGGTCATTTTTCGTCTACCCGGGCCATGTCGTGTCTAAATACGTGTCCAAGATAAGAAGTTTTACGCTTTTTGACAATTTCTGTGAGTTCACATTCTCTATTCATACGCCTTAAAACTTCTTCATTTGTAACGCGGCCAGTCCATGGAATTTTACACACTGTGTAATAGCACACTATATACATAACACTTTATCATGCGGTATCGTAGGGACAAATCAAGATTACAGGTAGTGAGTAACTGTCGCATCGTTAAGAAGGTGTTTCTTGCCTGTTCTATTCTAAATTTAACCTCTTGTTCTTGGTCTAAGGTTTCATGTATCCAACAGAATAGATACTTAACCTTTTTCACTTGTTCAACTAGATTGTTGTTGACTAGTATGTTTATAATTGGTGTGTGTTTTTTTGAAATTACCATTGTTTTGGTTTTTTTTTACATTCACCTTAAGGCCATATAGTTCTCCTTCTCGCACTACTTTGTTTAACAGAATTTGTAGTTCTTCTTTACTGCTAGCAATCAGTACTGTATCATCGGCATACCTGATATTGTTCACGATTCTTCCATTGACTTTTATTCCTTCTTGTGCTTCACCCAGAGCATGTTCAAAGATGTCCTCTGAGTACAAGTTGAATAATAATGGTGATAGTATACAACTTTGTCTAACTCCCCTTTGGATGTTTATGGTTTCAGTATCACCCATTTCAGTACTGACAGAGGCGTTTCGGTTCCAGTAGAGTTCACGTAATTATCAATAATGTTTAATCTAGTCTGATCCTCAATCTTACCAGATATAGCTCTGAACAACACAAATATGAAATCAGCCGACAATTCAGATCCAATGCTTACCAATGTGATTGTTTGGTCTGTCGGAGCTGTTGGTCTCTACAGAAGACTACACAAATGAAGGATATATGTCAGGCCAATTGGCTGCAGTACAACAAACAAATGCTTCCGAAAAAAAAATTAGCTGTTGACTACTACTACTTGTTTTTGTTTTGTATATATATATATATATATATATAATATATATACATATATATATATATATATATAATATATATATACATATATATATATATATATATATATATATATATATATATATATATATAATATTCTAGTTCATTTTGGGAGGCCTCCATATTTTTTTTTCCTTCAGTTCAGTTCCAACCTACTTAATTCCATTTTGAATATTTTGCTTCTATCTTCTATCATCTGTTATAGAAAGCTTGTTCGAGTCTTCTCTTAACTTTTCTAACCTTATTTCTTTCTCCTGGTCTCATTTGCATATTACTTTTTTCATCCTTAAATTTGATTTTACATAACACCAAATAGTGATTGCTCCCTAAATTAGGTGACTTCAGACATCACAATTTCAGGCATTATCTGTTGATGGAGTATCTCTCTATGACTACAAAATCTATCATTGATTTTTTTCTCTGGTGTCTTTATTGTGTTGTTTATTCTTCACTAGTAATTGTAGTTCTTTATAAAACTCTTGTTTATCTGAGTTACAATCTCTATTTCTGAAAAGTTTCTGCAAAAAAAGTTTTTTTTTTTTTGCAAACTTGGCTTCTCTAGATTGCCTTTATTTTGGGTTTCCTACAGAGCACATGTATCTTTTTCACATTCTCTAATTCCTTCTGTACTCTGTTGTTTAGGCCTTTTAATTTTGAAAAAGCTAATCTCAATATATTTCCTTATCCTTTTTCTGGCATGAAATTACTGTATTTATCTTGTCTATCCAGAGCTGTTTATCAGTATAGCTAATTAAAATAATAGCATATTTTTCTTTTAGGTTTTAAGGTATTCAAAGCCTTTTAAAATAATCGGGACAATAGAAAAAATGGTTGACAACCTGTATCCAGAAATTGATAGACTCTCAGATCTATGTTGTACACATTTGGCACTTATGAGCACCGGTATACAAACTTATAACAAAAGAGTATTGCAAAAAGTCTCCCAAAAATTTGTTAAAAATATTACAAATCCGGGAATTATTCGTTTTAAGGACATTGAAAGAGTATTAAATGTTCTGACAATGTTTAATTACGATCCAAAAACAAATCCTGATATATTTAATGCTTGTTATGAAGAAATACACAAAACTGAAAGGTTGGCAGAGACAGTGAGATATGCCAGATGTTTAGCGTGCGCTTTGAATTATTTGAGCCTTCGAAATATATATTCGAATGAATTAATGAATAGAATTTTAGATGAAGAATATATAACTAGTGTGTATGGAAAAGGAGCGAAAATGATACCTAGAGAAATATTTTCGTTGGATTGCAGTATTGATGTAGAATGCCCAGACTATAAAGGAAATAGACTGCCTCCTCACTTAAGATATAAAGCTGCCAAATGGTTAACTGAGTTTACTCCCAGCTACAATCAGTGGAAGAAATTGACAGCAGCTGATAAGTTAATTTTAGATACAATTGATACAGTTTGTAGTGTAGTTGGTGGTGAAAAATTTATGCATGTAAATTTTATTTTACCACATTTTTCCCGAGCAGGTAAGTCCTCTATTTTATATTTCTCATTTTCTGTTTCGTTGGTCGTTTTGAGTTCCATTTTATTTTAAGACAAATTTTTACCAGTATTAATATTCATGTATAATAGACAGCTATACGGCAATATCTCCAGATTGTTATTCAGCCTATCTTCCATATTTCGTAATTTAGTTAGTGATTTCTAAATCTTCTTCTTCTTAGTCATTAACCTGATGCAGGTATTGTGAAAACTGAAAAAACTAGACTTCTTATCAGTATCATTTTTGTGTCGTCAGTTATTTTTGTTTTAATTTTGACGTAAATGCTGACCGGCGCGTTTTTCTTCCGTACAACCACCTTGTTGGTTATTTAGCGACTTCTAAAATCCGATTCTTCATTTTTCACCAATAATTTTTCCATTATTCATGTTCAATAAGTGCGACTAATTTTTTTTATTGCTTGACTAACTAAGTTTTTAATTCAAAGCCATATTTCTGTAGATTTTAAGGTACTCACGCAGCTGTTAATTTGGTTACATTTTTGTTCTCGGTATGTGTTTTTCTCTTCCTTAATTTGCTTTCATAGATCTTGATCTGTTAATTTGTATCTTAAATGATTTTAATTTGTTCTACATTCCAGATATATTTTATGTTGTTTGATATTTTTAGTTAATATTTTTGTTTTTGCAGTCATCCAATTCAGATGCAGTTTTGTAAAAAAGCATTTTTTATATTTCGATATTCTTTTTCTTTATCATTGGTTACTTCTAGAGTAGAGATTTGGCTTACTAACCGCCTATGGTATGAATTTATAATGCATTTATGCTTTTTCTAAATAAATAGATGCATATTTACTTTCTAAGATTGTTTGTATGGCAGACTTATTTGGATCTAACTACAAACTAGAGATTCGTAAAAATGGAAATGTTGTATGCTTTGATTACGGTCCAAGTTTTAATAACAAATTTGGTTTGATGTACTTAAAACCTGTCCATATCAACTGTCGATAGTCTATGCCAATGTCCCTTGCACAATGCAATATTCCATAAATCTCTACGTGGAATATAGAGGCATATTCTCCAAGTTGGAATAGAAATGTTTACATTTTCACCACTACTGTAAATTTCTGCTCCCGACTCTTCTGCAGTTTTACACCTGTCTGTCAACCAAGCATTAATCAGAAGTATTATTACCCAGAAAGACCTCCATACCTGCTGTTGGTGTCTCCCTAAAAGTTTCTTTAATTACAATACAAGCAAGTCTTTGCATCATGTTTAATTTGAGGATGACACTTTTTTGATGCCCCTTTGACCGTCATACCACTAATGCATATTATTATGGATTTTACCTGTAAAATAGGGTAGTATCAAAGATGCTAAGGAACCATCTAAAATATGGTCATATTTCTTTTCAAATGATATTTTGGAAAACAGAGTAATATACGAATGAATTTATTGTTTCTAAGGAGTATGATTCCATATAGATTAGAATCTACGGATCTTCGGATAAGACTACGGATCTAACTGAAATTCAAGTCTTCATAGAGTTGCTGTATATATCTGGTGGAAATAAAAGTCGCCGTCAAAATTATCAAGATTTGTTTCGCACCAATGGCATGTCCATTGAGATTTACTGGTTGACCATGCCAATCACTTCACGCCAAAATAAGTAGAGAAGTAAAAAAAGAAACTAATTTTACCTCCTTTAGAGAAACTTTTGAAGAATTTATTTTAAACCGTCCTATACATTTTCATCCAGACCTAGCGTTACAGGAATTTTTGTTTCGAAACACATTACAGACGAAGGATTACACATTAAGAACTTCTTCCTGTATCTGGCCTGATCCGGAAGCTTTGTTGTTCTTCAGTCTTTTGATAGTTTATTCCATTTCGGACTGTGTAATGTTGAGTACCTCATCGGGGAGGGTCCAGTAGCACCGTGAGAGTTCCAAATAGTTCCTCCATGTATTATTTCCATCTTATAAGGTTTTATCTCAGTTTCGGTAGTTGTCTGTTATATGTTGTCTGAGTCCAAAATTGCTCCAGGGCTTCGTCTTTGGTATCTTTTCGTTTCTTTCGTTTCTTTAGCCTCCTTGATTGCTCTGATTACTTTTGTAATTTTTTGTAATATTTAATAGTTTAATATTTTTCGATTTCTTTATTTATCTTTTCTACAGTTTGTTGGAGTATACCGTCTTGTTGGATTTTCTTAACTATTTTAAATTCAAGTATTCAGGTTTAGAGGGCACAATTCTTCTAAATTTCTCCATGCTCGTGGTATGTTGCCCAACCCAAGCTAGCCTGTAGGGTAGTACATATTTTTTTGTACAAAAGGTCATTTCCCTTCTGTAGACGTATTGGCTGATCTACCACTTCTCTTGCCATCTACCATTTGACTGTGTTGATCTACCACTTCTTTTGCCATATGCTCATTTTCACTAGAAGTATGAGTTAAGATATCCAGTCCGGTGTACTATCATGTGCCTAGTGATATCAGCTTCGTTTCAGAATTTGGAAAGTGTACCCTTGAAAGTTCTTTCGGGGTTTCTTCACTATTCTGGGTATATTCACCTAACTCGTTTTGGAATGAAATTATATTTATCTGAGAGAACAATATGGAGCCTAGACATTTCTCCAATGTGCTCTATCTCTTTGCAATGTCCTTTCCGTTTAGTGTATGCCTTATTGTCCGTTTAACACTACCTAAAAACTATTCCAGGTTGATGGTGTGATGGTGTGTGGCAATTCTGCAAGTTCCCTAAGAAGGGAATAAAAGAAATTATTTTTCTATTATATAAAACAACATGCACTACTATGTCTTATCTGTCTAACTCTTTCAAAAGATGTTATAGATTTTGTTAGATGATAGTTGTTGCGATTTTCACTCATATATTGTTCAATTTTCTTCAAGAATTCATTTCTACTTTCATCAATCTTCAACTATGTACAGGCTATAATCTATAGATCTAAAAGGTAGACCAAGGCTGTACATGGACTGTCAGGGATCACAATTTATTTATAACTTTTCTTCATATTTATATACCATATGTGTTCTTTATGACATACTTTAAATTCATTTTCTGTTTTAGATATTGTAGTATGTAAAAATACAATAACTGGTAAGGTTGTAGAACCAGTGGGTTTTCAAAATTATGTATTAGGTGATGTAATGGTACCACACAAAGACAAGTCTTTAGAATGGTTCGCAATAACGGTAATAGGATGGAACAATACCGTGAAAGATACTAACATACCCCTAGGTACCTTTATTATGAAGCAAAGGCAATTGAGGAAAATTGGATATACTCCTGTTTTTGTAAGTATATTCATATACATAAATCATTTATGCACTTAAGTACAATACATTCATATTTGCAATTAAATATAAAGTATGGAACAGCCAATGAACGACAAAATACAATCGAGAACCGTAAAAGCTATAAGAAAACCAAGAATAAGTTGGCAATCGGTAGAAAGCAAATAATAGCATTGGAAACAACAATGAAAGGATCACAAATAGGGGTGAAATAATAGAACATGTAACCAAATTCTACGAGAGTATATAAACGTTTTGTTGAAACGTTTCATTTCCAAATTGCCGAATTCATCTGGATTATCCTCCAGAATTTAAAGTATTAACGGTTCAATTGCATTTTGTAACATCTCCAGATACACTTCACCGGTTAAGTTAGTATTGAGATAAACAGGCCCAACTATATGGTTTCCCAAAATACCTGCCCAAACATTTATTGAAAATTGAGTATGTGTTTCAAGAAAGATGTGAGGATTTGTGTCACTCCAATTCCTCACATTGTGTGTGTGTGTGTTAATATTTCCATTGAGAGAAAAAGTACTTTCGTCACTAAAATAAATTGTTTTTATGTAATCGGGCTGTTCATCGGGCTGGTTAATTTCATTGGACATATTTTCACATAATTCTAGTCTTCGGTCGAGGTCATCATCTGAAAGTTGGTGCACAATTTTTAATTTGTATGCATGAAATTTGTTTTCAGCCAACACTCGGTGTACTGTCTTTTGACTGATTCCATAGATAGATTAAACTTGACTCTAGAAAAAGTAGGGTTCACTACCATTTCTGAAATTATGTCAATTTTTTTGTCATCACTAATTGTTCATCGACCAGATCGTTTGACATCTTGAACACTACCTGTTTGTTCAAACTTCCAAAGAAGCTTGAACAAACAAATGGTACAGTACGTACCATTCTGCCTTTGTAAAAATTTAAGCGTCTAGTTAAATAATAATTAAACTAAACAGAAACAGAAACTAAATATTCAGGTATAAACGCGTTTGCAAACTAAAAATAACTAGAGAATTGACTAAAATAAGCAGAAACTGAAACTAAATATTGAGCTATAAATGCTCTTTCAAAGTAAAAACAACTAGAGAATTGACAAACGTCAACTTTTTTGACAAATAATCAAAGGCTGACGTTAGAATTTTTATTAATTAAATGCCAAACTATATTAAAATAATTGTAGTTTTGCATTTAATTAATAAATATTCTAACGTTCGTCTCAGAAAAAACTTGACGTTGACGAAAAAACAATTAGATAATTGAAAAACGTCAACTTTTTGTCAAGTAACCAGAGGCAGAGGTTTTAATATTTATTAATTAAATGCTAAACTACAATTTTAGTATTTATTTAATATATTCATTAAAATGAGCTTAAACTCAAATAAAATTAATATGGTTGAATATGTATTTCCAATACCTTTCAAACAATGTATTACTTGCCATAAGGTCTTATTATCTGTCATAGTGGCGCTATAACGTCATCTGTCACTATTACGTCACTTGTTATGACTAGTTAAGAAGCCACGTCTGTTTATTAACTCCCTCCAAATTTCACTATTATAAGTATAACCGTTCAAAAGATACAAGGGGGAACGGACTTTCGACTAGATCTGTATATTTTTAACTTTAGTATCCTATGAATTATTGGTAGAAAAAAGGAAGAAATGGGTAAAATATGGTCTGAAACTCCAGTCCGACGACTCCTGAAAAGCCGTAAGAAAATGAGAAGAAGTCCTATTGACTCAAAATGGAATCTAAGAGGATATATGCATGTACAAAGTTTTAAGACTTCAAGACTTCCCTGTATGCCTGTATTCCCTGTACAAAGTTTCAAGATTATAGGACTTTTGCTTCAAGTGAAAGAAAAAGCATAAGAATTAACAAAAGAAGTCCCATTGGTCCAAGTTCAATAGGAACGATTTCCAGTACGTCCAAAACGTCAAATATAAAGTATCTTCTAAAGTATCTTTTATGACATAATCCGTTATATCTGTTATTATAGGAGATACCAAAAAAGTTATTTACAAAAATAGAAGGTAGTTGTAAGCTTCACATTTTAAAATTATTTACAAATATACCAGGGTGTTCCATAATACTATACCGCAGCAAATATGTTTTTTTTTTTAATGAAACCCCCTCTATTTTGTTACAAGAATACAAAGTTGTTTTGTTATAAAGGGTATTTAAAAAGTTATAACTAAATTTTAATGAAGATCAACGCTCTGTATATTTGAAAAGGGGTACAAAGATTTTAAATAATTGTCAAAATTCATAAAAATGATTGATTTTACTTAGCCTGAAAGGGTTATCTTTTAAATAATTATACCTTTTTATAAAGGATTTTAAAAAATTTTGTGATTCATTGGATACAGCCGACTACAGGAAATTCATTTTTCTTATGGATGTGAAAGATACGTTTTTCGATGAAAAACCTTTTACAAATGCTAAAAGGACAAAATGGTATTTCTTTCACTTTTTAGGTATTTTATTTTATATATTCTCTCATATTTTACTCTTTTTAGGTAATTTGGTCAGAGTTTCAAAACTTATCAACAGACATGATGAAAAAGTATATATCTACTAAACTTGGATTAGGATAGTGTAAAAAAATTATATTTATTATTATTTTGTAAATATAACATTTTAAAAATCTCTTGTATTTGCTTCTGCTATAGACAACCTACGTTTTTCAGATAGTCAAGAGTATTGATATCATACGACTTGTTGAAAACGAAAGTCAACTATTTGTTCTGCAGTTAAATATATCAAAGACAAAGATCATGATTGTGGACAGACTACATAACAATCATTAACACATAACCACGATTGACCGGTTTTGGGTTGTGAGCTCATACTTATATCTAGGATCACTGATCACAAACACAGGGTTACTACAGGAAATAATAAAATGTAGATGTGATCTAGCAAAAATCGCCTTATGAAAGATTGCCCAAATATGGAAGGACTTACAAATTTCACGAACTCTAAAAATGAGGTTGATTAACTGCTTAATATTCTCAATACATACGGATGTGAATCTTAAACCCTACGACAAGCGGAAAGAAGAAATATAGATGCAACTGAAATGTTCTACTATAGATGAATATTACGAACTTCGTGGACCGACCACAGGACAAATATTTCAATTTTAAATGAGCTAAAGTTCAGCAAAAGGCTTTCCAGCAAAGTCCACCTCTTCTTCTTCCTTATTGTATGTAGGCTTTGAAGCCTCTTTCTTCTTCAATATTAGCCTCCTAAATTGTTTAAATTATCGCACCATCTTTTTCTTGTTCTGCTAATACTTCTTCGTCCATTTGGTGACTTATCTCGTGCTATTCGTACTATCCTATCCTCTACCATTCTACTAATGTGTTCGTTCCACTCCTGTTTCCGTTTTGTCACCCATCCATTTATGTCTTCTATATTGCATGCTCTTCTTATGTTTTCGCTTTTCTCCCTATCCAACAGACTTCCCTGATATTCGTCGGAATATTTTCATCTCTGTTGTTTCTAGTAGTCGTCTCGATTTATATGTGTCAGGTCTTGTCTCCGCCTTGTATCTTAATATAGGTATAATTGCTGCTTTATAGATGCTTGTTTTTGATCCCGCCGCTTCACTTGCTTTTAAGCTTTGTTGCCGCACTTCTTCTTCAACATCTCCGTAACTAGTTATATCTATTCCAAGATATCTAAACCTTGCTTCCTGCTTTATTATTTTCCCATCGATTTTACATCGTAGTGGCTGTTTAAATGTTGTCATACATTTGATTTTTCTGCTGATATTATCATATTGTATTTCTTATCAGTATTGAAGATGTGTGTTAATCTTTGGAGCTCGTCTTCTTTCTCGGAGATTAATGCGGCGCCGTCTGTATAATATAATATTTGGATTTCTCTGTTCCCCATTATGTTAAGTCCATCTCCAACAATTAAAATACTTTGGACGTGTTATGAGAGTAGACACAGAAAATATGGAAAGACTTATCATTATAGACTACATCACGATGACTATTGTAGTTACTCCGGGAAGCCAGGACTGAAGAGAGAGAGATGAGTAGAGGTCTGGACTCTTAAACAGAACAACAGCAAAAATATTCAAAGCTTCGAGATGTGGTGCTACCGACGAATACCGATGATAAATTGGATTGATAGTCACAAATGTGGAAGTGCTACGTCGTATAGGAAAAGAGCCGGAGATTGTATTAATTATAAAGTAAAGAAACTCGAATATTTCTGCATTATTACTTCAAAATATAATGCAGGGATAAATAGAAGGAAAAAGAAATCCAGGACAGAAGAATGTCATGATTGCGAAATTTGTGAGAGTGGTTTGCCTACACCACGAATGTGCACTTTACTTAGAGTCCCTAGATCATTTAGCTACATGGTTCATTATTCACTGCAATATTATTACGCGTCGGGCCTACCTTTATTAAATGCAAGGATTTCTGCAGATGGAATTTCATGTTTGGCTTTCAATTCCAATTTAGTTTTAGAGGATAGGAGATGGCGAGTAAAGATTTTTTATTCCTTTTGATATCAGAATTTTATCTATTTTGTCGATAAAACCCTTTATATACAGAAGAAAAGCTTTGGTGTAAACACTGTCTGATATTTTAGATTGAGATTAAGTGCGGCAGCTGTTCCTTTTTTTCGCTTATTTTCTCATTTGATACTTGCTTTAGGGATTGGAACAATAACCTCTGGGCTTACAGCAAAAGTATAGTGCCCCTTGCCCTTGGAATTGCTGATTAAATCACATGAAGTACTGAAATAAGGCAGTGGACTGGGCTGGAATGTTGAAGTACTTGGCTTTGTCGAGTCTTTAGAGATTAAAACGAATGTAGTTTGGATATCCAGATCCTACAGTGACATTTTGTCTGTGGTCATTGAAAAACACAGAAACTGAAGCGTTGGACGCAGAGGTTGCTGGTCGGAAATCTATTTCTCCAGAAGGCGGGTTCTCTTTACTTGCAAGTGGTGCCTCTTGACGTCGAGGAATATTTTTTTTTCAAATCTGCAAATCTTTTCCTGGTACCTCAGCAGAAGTTTCCTTTTGATATTCAACACCCAGTTCTTGATTTTCAGCTTCTTAAAGAGAGGTAGAATCTGATACGGGAATTTCTATGGTCATGGCTGAAGCAAAATCTGCGCCACCTTCTGCAACTCTGTCTGTTTATAGGAACTATGCCTTATTTTCCATAACCTTTTACCGCAATAGTTGGAGTAGTTGCAAATCAAAATGCCTCCAAGAAGTTTTGATACCTGATACTGTCACTAATCTACCACGATTATTAGGCAAGAATCTTTCGATCGCTTGGACATAATAAGTATTGAAGGGCCCCATGAAAGAAACGTCGAATGGCTGCAGCTTATGTCTACAGTGGGGAGAATGCAAACTACAGTTGTGTGATTTTCTCTAGCCCTTTCACTCAAATCTAGATTTTTTTATAAGTAGAATGTCCATCAAGTATGAGCAGAACTGGGTCGTCTTCGGATGGCTTCGCAAACTTCAAGAAATGGTCAAACCATTGTGTAAACATCTGTTTGCATTCACCCTGAAGGATCACAAACAAAAGCTGTTCCAGGTGGAGCGCCGTCTTAAAGTTCCACTTTTCATCCGCTGTCTAGGGAAGTTGATAAAAGGAGGGATAAAAACTCCCCCAGCTGACACAGAAATTACAAATGTGCTGAAAACACCTCTCTCTGCAGATATAAGATATCCGACTTGGATACTTATATGACAAAAACCTTTGAAGACTTTGACTGGACAACTATAAGTCCAGTTTCATCAACATTGTAAACCATATGAAGAGGATACAAGTGATGTTTTTGAGCATCCTCCAAAATGTCAAAAAACTTGCTTACATTCGTTTTATTAAATGCTTGCGTCCTTGCTGCTGAAGTTGCCTCACGTTTTCTTAATACAATAAGATTAGGATGGCGCTTCCTCAACCCAGTTACCCAATCTTTTCCTGCTGATTTCGATTCTTTATTGAAACCATGCGGGATGTTATTCCGTTCGGCCAGTTGGTAAACAAGGCTGCGCAAATCAGCTACAGTAATTCCAAAAAACGTACCTCCATTTCCAAGAGATAATTTACCAATTGATGTCTTGTTCTTAGTTAAAAACAGCTCTAAAATGGCCTAATACTTTTTTATTGTCAGTGACATCTTGATTTTTATTTAGTACGCGACGTTTTAGTGTGTTCCTAGGCACATTGTAAGTTTTAGCAGCCGTTTGATAAGACATTCCGTCTTTTTTCACAGCATCGATTGCTCTTTGCATCACTGCGGGGTTCCATGACTGCTAATGACTCTTCCTCTGATATTTTGACACTATCGCTATACCTGAAAAAACAAACATTTTTAGTATTACATGTTAAATAGCATTAAAATATGATAGTAACACGGCGTTTTCACCTTAAATAAAGCTACATTAATCGTATACAGTAATGTTAATTTATTGTATCATGTAAATACATAGTACAATAAGTGGGCTTGGAATATAATTACTAGTCTACATTACTTGCTAAAATATATTTGTTGCAGGTTAAAACCACTAAACCAGACTTTAATCCGTAAGAATTCAAATAAAACAGACGCTATTATGCTGTTTGAAATGGAACAGACAACTCTTCTATTACTGAGGAAGAAAGCGACAACTCTATCCAATAACCAAATTCACAGTTCAATGAAATTTGAATGGCTTTTACAGCCATATCGAAAACTTAAAAATATTAATCAATGAATTCTCACCTTTAGTAATATGTTAACAAAAAACACGACTTTCTAATAATAATGTAAAATTGAAAAACTATAGTCCCTACATCAAAAATAGACCGGTGCAGCAAATAGCTAGCGGTGGTGTTGTCATCTTTGTGAAATCTACGATCGAATCCAAAGAAATTCCGTTAGATACAAATCTGGAAGCTGTTGCAGTCTCAATAGTTCATCATTTCAAAATTAACATTTGCAGTGTATATTTACCACATCGGAAGAATCCATACTCCTAGAACTACAAAAAGTGGTAGAACAAATTCCATCTCCTAAATTAATTCTTGCTGACACAAATTGTCATAACGAATCTTGGGGATCTGCGAAAACTGACAAAAATGGCAAGACCCTATTAGAAAAAATTAACAACCTGAAACTGGTGCTAATAAACACAGGAATGCCTACCCGTTTCAACTCATACAATGGCACCTTTTCAACCATCGATTTATCCCTCACCAATTCAACTTTAGCACCACTACTTGTACACTTTCACACTTATTTGACAGCGATCATCTACCAATTTTGTTTACTTATATTAAAGACACAAACATTAATAGAAAACCATATGAAACATGGAAATTAAAGTCAGCGGATTGGGCAAAGTACAGTTTGGTACAAAGTAGTTTAATAACTGAACGAATAAAAGACTTTAAAATATTAGAAGATATAAACATCACAATAAAATTTTTAATGATATCCTAATAGATTCAGCCAGAGAAGCGATTGGAAAAACTAAAGCTACCACAAAAACACCTCTACCCTGGTGGAATATCGAAATAGAAACTTCTTTGAAACAAATAAAACACTCCTTTAATATATTGAAAAAACACAATTCCGAAAATAACTTAGCTAGATTTAGAGCGTTAAGAGCCAGGTCCAGATTTATAATCAAAAAACCTAAAAAAGAAAACTGGGCGTATTATGTCTCATCAATAAATTCATCTACACTAATAAGTGATATTTGGCGGAAAATAAGGAAAATAAAAGGCTCAACCAAAAATAATCATATCGACACCATTATTTTTCGACATTAAAAAAGCTTTAGACACAACATGGAAGCATTATATCCTCAAAATTATGAAAAACTGGAAAATAGATGGTAACTTTCTCGCTTTCACCAAAAACTTTCTTCAAAACAGGTCCATACAAGTAAAAACTAATGGATTCATATCAACAGCGAAATCACTCCACAATGAAATTCCTCAAGGACTTAAGCCCACTATTATTCTTAATCGCAATAAATAATATAACAAACCACATAAAACTTTCCGTAAAATCTTTTTGCTGATGATCTAGTAATATATGTTAGAAATAAAAATTTAGAATTAGCTACGCAAATTTTACAGAGAACTGCTTAGAAATGTGGTCTTTAGAGACTGGTTTAACTTTTTCAACTGAGGAGACTAAAATAATAATGTTTGACAAAAGAAGAGCAGAATACAACTTAAACTTGTATCTAAGAGGGTCATTCTCTGAAATAAGTCCGCGAAACCAAATTTTTGGGTGTAATATTTGACTCACAACTCACATGGACTTCACATATCAACAATTTGATCAAATTCTGTCAACAAAGAATAAACTTACTAAGAGTTTTATCCAATCATATATGGGGTTCAGATACTAAAATTCTCCTTAATTTATATCAGACATTAATAAGAAGCAAACTCGACTACGGATACATCTGTTATGAAACAGCAAATAAAAATCAACTAAAAAAACTGGATGTGATTCAAACCACATCTACGACTAATCTTTGGAGCCTTTAGAACTACTCCAATAAGAAGCCTTCAAGTGCTAGCAGGAGAAATGCCACTATACATCAGAAGACAATATATATCACTATGCTACGCTTCACAAATTCTAAGTGCAAAGAATCATACCTTTCTCGCAAATTTAAGAAGTATCACTAGAACAATACACAAATTACACCACCAAGACAGTACCATTTTACGAAGGAGTTAAAGGATTACCGTATTATATCAATCAAATCACCTTGACACCCATAAAAAGATACCAGACACATCCCTGGACAGTTTCTTTACCAATAGTAGACCTCTCGTTACTTAATTATCATAAGCATTCACACATCTCTGCTGAGGTCAGGCTTCAGTATCATTTACTCAAATATTCTACTTACAAATTGTTCTTCACTGATGCCTCCAAAGATTGCAACGGAGTAGCAACTGCTACTGTATCAGAAAACGTAATTTCTGCCACTAGATTAACTGACGGCTGTAGTATTTATACCGCAGAGCTCCAAGTAATACTTGACTAAACTATTGCACTAAATTATTGTAAAACCACAAATGAAAAACAAATACTAATAAGTTCTAAGTTCTACTAATAAGATTCAATAAGTTCTATACAGGTCATTAAACATGTTTATCCTACACACATCAATCTATTCCTAATTAAAGACGCGTTGCAACAGCTCCAATTTTCTGGGAAAACCATATCATTTATGTGGGTCCCATCCCATGTCGGAATAACTGGTAATGAGCTAGCAGACAAAACAGCGTTTGAAGCAATAAACAATGTGAACATTCCGACTACAATAGGTATACCAATATCAGATACTAAAACTTTATTCAAGACTCATGTAAACAAAATCTGGCAAGAAATATGGGATCAAACAAACACAAATCTTAAAAGCATCAAACGAGACGTATCTTCAAAAATCTTCCTATACCACCAAAACGAAAAGACCAAGTAATTATCAGCAGACTCCGGCTTGGGCATATACGAGTTACGCACGGCTACATAATCTCCAAAGAACCACTAAAAATGTGCCAAAGATACCAAACACCTTTCACAGTCAACCATATAATAATAGAATGTCCAGAGTACACCTCAGCCAAGGCGATATTCAAGATACCCAACCGTGATACCCAACAGCCTGAAACAATAGCTAATAACCCTAGTGGTTGATGGGGATAAATAAAAAAAAACTAAAATCTGATATTGTCGAACAAAAATCATCAACTTTCAAATGCAATACCAGATTTTCCATACAAGTTTCCAGGAAGCTCAATATAACAAATAAAACAATAATAATTATTAATTACGTATGATTTCAATTTTTTTGTATTAAAAATTTTTGGAAAACAAAATATTTAATTATTGTTTATCTCTTGTAAGTACTTTTATCTATATTTCTTGCAAATAAATATAACTTTTTTTCTTGAATCAGTATGATGCAAATTATTTTCTAGTTGTTTTTCTTCTTTTTCTTAACACTGTATCCCCAAAGAATTCGGTATTTTTTGGTATCCCTTTAGAAGGATTGATAACATGCATCTTCTTCTTCTTCTGCATTTTGCCTTGGTCTCTTGTTTTTGATACTTTTCGCATTATTCAAATATTTTCTTGATTTTATGTCTTATAATGAATTTATGACCTTACTCCTTGAACCTTTTGTTTGTAACAATTTTCACAAACAGTAACTTAACATCAATATAGTTTTACATAAGATATGTGCTTTTTTTAATAAAAATTAAATTTAAAATGTCAATTTGACATTTATATAAATATGAATTTTAACATTTTTGAATAATGACAGACATAATAACCATTTCTCATTTTATGTTTATCTAGTGGACTGTGAAAAGCAGTTTGTTTACCGTAGACAGTTCTTTCAGTTTTAGCCTTTTTTCCACCAAATCTTTTAAAATGGATAAACCCCGTGATAAAGTGTTTCGCCGTAAAGGTAAGAATTATTTTCTCCAAATACTAATTATATCTTATATATAAATTAAAAGTTCATAGTTTATTTAGGAATTCTGTTAAAACCATGAAAATCACCTTCCAACTAAAATAAATAAATTGCATAATAACGTTTTGACTTTTAAATGATGCCAAATAAAATATAAAGCTGTAACAGGTATTCGCTAAGTAGATATTTAAATAAATTCAAAATCGAGAAGGTTAAGAAAGTAAAGCCAAATATTACCTAGCCTAACCGAATGATTATATTTTAAAAGTTTAATAAAATATTTAAAATGTTCTAACTAGTTGTAACAACTATAATAGATCAGTTAAAATATATGTATAATTTTGGTAGAATTTGGTGGAATTTCTAGTAGATTTTATTTTCTTTGACACATTCAGTGTAAAATGAGAGATTTCGCAGTTATATATAACCCATAAACCCAACTCTCCCAGAAAGTTTATAAGAATTTGTAAATCAAAAAGTTAACAATTTTACGTTGTAAAAAACAAAATTGTAAGAGGAATACAGAGTTAATATAATATAATTTTACAACTTATTTGTAATATTATATAGTAAAGGAATAAACACAGAAATACAAATACAGGATAAGATGTTACGTATTATATATACTAATAAGTTGTACAGTAAACTTTTCTTTTCTTAGTCTTGCACCTCCGGGTCGGAATTGACTTGGATATCAGCAGGGATTGGCGCGTGAGTGGTTTTCAATTTCCGTCCATGCCCGCTCACTATTACATAGTTTCACTCACGCATGAGTTAAAAAGTGAAATTTATTAAAAAAAAACTTTTAGTAAAAAGACGAACCCAAATGGTAACACGTCTAAAGGTCGATTCAGACACATCAGTCCCGTCACAGTCTCGGCGCCGAACCGGTCCAGTTTGGTCACAGAACTATTAATTATCTGACAGCTGGGAAACTGTTCGTCAACTGATGAATGTGAATGCCGACGGCATATTTCTATTAAAGAATACTTTGTATGACGGATTGTTCGGTTCGGCGTCGGGACTGTGACGAGACGTGACTGATGTGTTTGAATCGACCTTAATAGTCTTCCTATTGGGAACAGTTTCTTACCGTATTTACTACTCTATTTGTTGTCATTCTGCTTATACAATCGTTCCATTCTACTCGTCCATTCCTTACCTACTCCTTGATGTACCGTCAATATTTTAAGTGTTTTTATCTTTGCTGTTTCTAACATCCTTTTGTCCACTCTCTGTGAGGTCGTGTTTCTGCGACATAATGTATGTCATTATGGGTCTGATGACTGTGATGTAAATTCTGCCTTTCATTTTTTCCCGATATTATTATTTCTCCATATTGTTTAATTCAGGAGCAACCTACGGCTCTGTTTGCTCTATTCACTTGATCTTCCACTTCTGTTTCGAGCTTTCCGTAACTAGATAATGTGATGTCTAGATATTTAAACTCATCACTTTTTCTATTATCTGACCTTCCAGCACCTATTTACATCTTAACAAATTTGTTTTTCCCATTTTCTATCCTTTTTTAGTTACTTTTTTTATTATTTCATCCATAATTGGTTGAACAATAAAGGACTCAGAGAATCTCCCTGAGTCATATCTGTTTCCTGCATTTTAATATAAACTGATTAAAATATCTCAAAATTAGACGATTTAGGTATAAATCAACTTTTTACCTTTCGTAGTTACATTTTCAGATAGTATAACCAGGATACCTAAAGTGTACGAAAATGGACGCAAGGATGTACCCCGTCCTAGGAGTAGAAGTGTTTTTACAAGTTCTCATGCTAATGACGACCTTCCTACCAGAGATATTGTAAGGTACGAGGGGCAAACTTCTCGCCCCCTGTACGTTCCGAAACCCATTACCGTGAAAAATTACTTTTCTGAAGAATACAATGTAAGTAGATAATTTTATAAGTTACAGATATAAGGTAAATTCCTTTACTTCTTCTTTTTTTTTCTTCTTTTTCTTTTTACTTAAGTGGATAACTTTAGTCTTATTTTAATGATTAGTACATATTTATTATAGTATTTAGTCTTTTATAATAATATTACAGGCATTGTACGAGATTATAGAGTTTATTTGTATTTTTTTTTATTTTCAATAAGCAATGCTCACTGGAATTTACACTCTTCTGCACTTTTTTGAGACAAACTGCCTTCTCTAAGATTAAAGTTGACCGGTTTTTTTTGGATCGCAATAGCTCCTTTTAACATCTTTGAATAGTAGTACGATGTTCTATTAGAAACTTCTGTTTCTTCAAGTAAAATTTGGTTGTCTTCTACGACGGTACGTCCAGCAATGACTGATACGGTGAGTAAGGCGAATGCTCTTCTTGTGTTTAGTTAAACAAGTATTTACACTACGTTTTTATCTATTACAACGTACTCTGAACCATAAAAATATGAAATGGGATAAATTTCTGGAGTAAAAAACGTTTTCTTGGATCTTTGGCCCATCTTAAATCTTTTTTCTATTGTTGTTGGTGGTTTGAAGTAAAATGTCGGAAAAAAGTCGAAATTTACTCCACGTAATAGCAAGTGACAGAAAGTGGCTACGACTCTGATCACGGATTATAATAGAATTTAACGTTATCAAATAAATAGAATGCAAAATGATATTTTTGCATTAAAATTTTGATGCAGAATTAAGACTACATTTGAAGTAGTTTACTAAATTCTTTTATTATCATTCTTCTTCTTCGTGTGCCTCATCCTTTAAGGACATTGACGATCATCACGGCCCATTTTACTCTGTCTGCAGCAGTTCTGAAGAGTTCTATGGTTGTTTTTCCACTCCACTGCTTTAAACTTATCAACCAGGACGTGCGTCGTCTCCTGGTCCGATTTTCTTCTACTATCCTTTGTATAATCAATCGCATAAACTCATATTTTTCACTTCTTAGAATGTGACCAAAGTAGCTCATTCTTTTTTCCTTTATAGTGTTAGGTATTTCTTTTTCTTTTTTAAACTTTCTTAATGTTTCCGTGTTTGTTACGTATTGTTTCTATGATATTTTCCACATTCTTCGATAACACCACATTTCAAAGCTGGCAAGTCTTATTTCAATTGCGTCCGTAACTGTCCAGGCTTCAACTCCATATATAAAAGGTAGAGAATACGTAGCAATTTAATACTCTAGTTCTAATTTCATTTTCAGTTTTCCACTGCATAATATTACTTTTATCTTATTGAAAGCGCTTCTGGCTATTGTAATGGCATACCTCTCGCAGTATAAGCGATCAACCAAAATTTGCAGTCCTCTGCTGTCCACAAGGATATAAATAATGTTATCTCTAATGTTAGATACTACAGGTTTGATATTAATATTACACATATTTTCTTCTCTAATAAACCACTGCTAAATTAATTTGTTAGTATGTTCTATTCTTTGAATTGCCTCCTTTCACATACTTAAAATATGTGCATCTCTATATCCATCTCTGCCAATATAATATGAATTATAATAAGTCTTGCAATCTGCCCATACTAATTCGAAAACATTAAAATATGGGTGATACGGTGGCAATGTGTCATCTACTATATATATATTTTCTTGTCGATTCAACTTGGCCAAGTAATTGTGTACTTAACCATTTAGTAAATATTGTACTATTCATTTCACTGTAATAATTTGCAGTCAAGGATTTGGAACAAAATAATAAACTGGCGTCTGAAATAAAACCTTTTGCTGAACCGGCATGAGCCACATTAAATCTTTTTCTATCATAACCACCTGGTTTGCTTACAGTTCAGTTGTTGTCATCTTGCCACGACATCATTTTATTTTCCCTAGAAAAAATCCAAGTTTCGTCTAAAACTACAACTTCTTGTGGATATGTACTATTTCTGTTTTCCATATATTTACGTAAGACACACTCGTTGTGCTGCGATATAAGTTCGTTCAATTAAAGTTATTCGATGATCATATACACTAAAACAATTTTTAATTAAAGGTGATTACGTGGCAACATTGCACTTAACGATATCTTTTTAACGAAATCATATTCCACTTATCAATTTTGCAGAGGCGTACCAAAATATCTTTAATTATTTATTTAAACGCATAAATAATTACGTAAAAATTAAATCTAAGACCGATATAATTATTAAATTATCATGTGTTTTTTAACAGTAATCTTATAGTTGTCTAACAAAATAAAGTATAATTGTATTCTTATTAGAGAGTACCTAATACAGAACTTCAAAATAATCTTCACTAAAATAAATGCGAGTGTTCATTGTCAATGCTATGCTCTGGGCAAGGATACGATGCTATGGTCTCTGTTATGAACGTACCCTTTGCAGTGTATCCTCTATTTTCTCGATAACGTGTGTTGACTTAAGTTTCAGACTGATGGTTTTAGCAATGTCAGTAGATATTTACGATATCATATATAGGAGAACCAATTGTAGTAACAATCGGTCTAAACAAACATTTTACTCGTAAATATTAACATACCATAACGTAGCAGAGCTAATGTTTCTATCCTTTGTCCATCCTTTTTAGTTTGTTAGGCAATAGAACTGGACAAGTTTATTAGGTTTTCTCAAAACAGTTCAAACTGGATCGTGTCTCACTTCCTGTTAGTTGTGAATGTCCAGTATCTTTTTAACCTTACTGTTAAAATCCTTGGTTCTTAGTATAATAGTACTAAACTACAAATTCAAAAATAAAAACAAACATAAACGTAGAGAATATAAGAAAAGACCCATTAGTATCTATCAAAAGTTTCTAAGAAATGCCAAGTAAAAATATATTTAATGTTAAAATTTTAGGATGCTTACACGGACGATGGCTATTCTGGTGGTACCATAATTTCACCACAAGGAATTATCACCATGCATCTACGTGAATATATCAGAGTTGATTTGTCGCTTGATCGCGCTATTCGTATTTCAAATGCAAAAAATGGTATAGTTTTGGCTTTGAGCGCCAGTGGCAGTTCTTCTGGTCTAATCCACCCCAATGGAAGGGTGTACCAATATGGATCTAGGGTAGAAATCATGGCCAATGATAACCACGGAAATAATAAGTAAGTACAATGTAAAAATATAAATTTTAAATATAAATTTTCACTACTTCTACCAGTTTTAATATGAGCGAATTCTACCAATCTACCAAACTTGTTTTTTTGCCAGAACACGGCGTCTTCTAGTTTTCAATAAATTAGTGCAACGGTACCGATACTTATTCTCTTAACGCTCTATAAATCGTTACCTGCTGGCTGGGTTCTAAATATTTCTAACAATTTGTGAACAAAAACAAAAAAAAACAAAGTATGACTTATTTTTAGTTGTCATGGTCACTAGCTTATATATCAAAATCGAGTAGGAATTTCAATACCCATGTTTTTTCCAAAATCTACGCCCCATATGATATACTTCATTTTCCTATCGTACATATTTGAAATTTCTCCACAAATCTATGTAAATATCTTTATGTAAAGTCCATGCAAATTTGAAATCTAATTGTGACTTACTTATTCTTAGGTTTGCAAAAATGTGGTATAAAGGAGTAAGCTTTACCAGCGTTCAATGTGCTTTGGTGTACTTAGTAGATTCTGCTGGTACTAGAACTACCACCGACACTTTTAACGATTTGACTCACGATTTTACTCTCAATATATTTTATGAAGACTCACCATATTCTTACCTTGACACTCCGAACACAACACATACCACTCATTTGGTAAATGAAGCCATGAATGTACTTCAAGCTACCAACTGCTGGATGACAGAAGATGGAACCACCAATTGGATTATTAACAATGTTAGGATTTCTCAAACTGCCGATGGACTTGTCAGGTACAAATTTTTAAATAATATTTACTTTTTTAGGATATAATCTAAATCAAATGATGTTCAAAATTCCCACAAAAGTAGTCATTGAATATTTATCTATTCAAAAGATTATTTCTACCTTTATACTTTCATCTTGGGTATACCCAGCCGCTAACTTTAGAGATTGGATCCAGAGTTTTAACTTTGTTTAGGCTTTACGCTTTTCAAGGAAGGGGTAGTCCTTTTTTTCGGAGTAATGGAGGTGTGACAAAATGTGATGATTGATGTATTATGTGAAGAAGTAGCGGACTACTAAGGAGTTGGTGTTCAGAAGGTGGCGTATATGTGTGGACGATGTGTTAAGATACGCACAAGAGGAATTTAGGTGGGGGAAGCCAAACATGTCGAAGGAGGTACTTCAAGGGTTACTAGCCATAAAATAGGAACGGCTCTTAATCAGCATTTTTGGCGTGCAGTTGTTAGCTGCCATATTTAATGGGGAATGTTTCTAGGATATCAAAATACTCATCAGGAAGTTCGTGTCCAGTATTGTGAAGAAGTTTAGCTGGAGGGAACGGATCTTTTCTTTCAGGAAACCTGGTGAGTATTTGCAAACCTGGCGATTGCAAGGTGTCTTTAATATTTGCTTTGCTCGAATATTCGAGTCTGTGATGGTTCGAAGGAGATACCTCCTACTGGGGGATAGGATTCTGTCCTTAATAGGTATTATATTTGCCAATATGTATATGTGTGACTGTGCTGCCTCATGCAGAATCTGAGAATTTTTCTTTCAGTAGCCATGATGGCATTGATTTGGTAGGTCTTAGGGAGAGCGCCCACCAAAGTGGCGTGGCAGTGGCAAGTAGCAAGTAGCACGCGTCTAGCATAATGTAACCAATCCTAACGAATGATTAGAATGAATAACGTCACTGTCATTTTGGTGTGAACTGAATCATTCGTTTTCATTGGTAGACGCGTGCTACTTGCTACTTGCTACTTGCTACCAAAGTGGCGTGGCAGTGGCAAGTAGCAAGTAGCACGCGTCTACCAATGAAAACGAATGATTCAGTTTACACCAAAATGACAGTAACGTCATTCATTCTAATCATTCGTTAGGATTGGTTACATTATGCTAGACGCGTGCTACTTGCTACTTGCCACTGCCACGCCACTTTGGTGGGCGCTCTCCCTTAAGGAAGGCGTAGATGCATACCTTGTATTCGATGATAGGTCTAATGAAAGTTTTATAGGTGTGCAATAATGTTTTAGATGACGTCTTGCCCAATTTGCTGGCTAGCACTGCCAGGAGTATAGGGAGTCATAGAAAAATAATTTTAGAGAAGTACATCGATCCTTTTATTGTGAATGGCTTAAACGGTATCGGTACAACACACGAAAGAATCCAACATCTGCTGACGTCAGGCAGCAGCCCATTAAGACCATTATCAAAACAAGACCGTCGGTGCTTCCCTGTAATATTTTATAAATTTGATATTAAATCTCTGTCATCTGCTATTTTTTCATATTATTAGAATGGAATAGAAATATGCTTTATTGTCACTGAAAATTGTACAATTTTATGGTACAAAGCTTACAAAAAGTCAGAAAAATAAGAATATAAATTTAAAATATACTGACATTACATAAATCGTCAATATCACAAAATAAAAGATAAGAATATAGACAAATTATTGCAAAATTTAAATAAATTGCAAATTTCATAATAAAACCTTACGAACTAATAAGTTTAAGTTGCAGCATGTGATACCCATCATATACATATAAAAATACTTTCGTACAATAAGGTACTGCAATGTCTTAGTTATTCGTAAGAAACTCTTCTATTGAATGATATGGCCTTTCAAATAGATAGGCTTTTGTCATTTTATGGAACTTAAGGAGAGATGTAGATTTAAGTTTTAAAGGGAGATGCTTGTATAATTTTTTTGCCGAATATAATATAGATTTCTTTACTAACTCAGTAGACGGGATCGGTAAATACACATCAAAAGTTGAATTTCTGATAGGGTAGTCATGATTAGGTCTTGCTGGAAAAACATGTAGGTGTTTACGAATTAGCAAACAGTTTCTAAAATATATAAAGAGGTAAGCGTTACAATCCTGTGATTTTTAAAGTAGCTACTGCAATGTGCTTTTCTACTGAGGTCAAAAAAACCGTATTGTTATTTTTGTAATTTAAAAATAATATCAGATTGGGCAGCTATACTAGAACTCCAAAAAGGAAGACCACATCGAAGATGAGATTCGAGCAAAGAAAAATATGTTATTTTGGAAGAGTCTAAATTGATTTCCTTCGAAACATATCTTATTGCATAACAAGCTGAGACAGTTTCTTACTTAACCAATCGATATGAACGGACCATTTAAGGTTGCTGTCTATAAAAATAACAAGAAGTTTTATAGAATCAACGATACTGATCTGGTTGTTATTAAGAAACAAGGGTTGAAGAGCTCCTTTATAGAATAATGCTACTGTCTTATCCACGTTAAAAGAGAGTAAATTAGATTCGGACCAGGTTTTTATTTTAAGTAGAGCAGAAGTTATATTTACATGAAGAGTTGCAATTTTAGAGTTCCTTCAGGTGATACTGGTATCATCAGCCAAAGAAAAGTTTTTACATCGATTTTTAAGTTAGTGTTGTTATTTTTATAAAGATAATGAAAAGTAAAGGACCTAATACTCAACTTTGTGGTACTCCACATACAATGCTCTTGTTTTTGTTACTAAAGCCAGTATCTAACTATTTGTGTGTGTGTGTGTCATCGAATTTCCTGACTGTGGACTTAATCCATTAGCCGAACTTATTTTTGCTCTACAGATATTTATGTCACATATTACTATTAAGATAAGATTTTGTATTTTAAAGATATACCTAGATTCTATATCTAACTATTTGTTTCCTATTTCCCAAGTAAGATTGTTGTACAGTGTACAGATTATTGTTCAGTGCTTGGTAGACCTCATGTAGTACAGAAAACATAGCATCACTGGTATATTTATTAGGTAAAAAGCTAAACTGACTTTGTGATAAAATGTTGTTTTCAATGCAAAAGGACATAAGTCGGGCTTATATATAAGTCTCTCAATAATGTTGGGTAATACCGGTTGTAAAGCAACAGGTCTATAATTGTATACATTCAATTTTTCACCACCCTTATGAAGAGGAATAATAATGGCTGTCTTTAGACACTCTGCAAAGGAATCATTAATTAGTGAGATTGAAAATTCCAATGCATTTTTTGGGAGATTTAAGAAAATTTTTATGGATAGTCCATCAGTACTACAGGAAGATTTGCTTTTGATACAATTCATCAGTACAGATCAGTACAGATTTATCAGCTGGTCTTATAAAGAATGCATTCGAAGCCTCTTTTGAATTGGGGAGATAGAAAATTGAATCTTGTTGTGGCAAAATAGTTGATGTTATATTTTTATTCACATTAAAGGAGGATATTATTCATTTAGATTTTTAGGGCTTGGAAGAGAAAATGTTTGAGCTGCTTTAGTTTTCTTTCGAAGATCGTTTGTTATGGACGAAGTTTATTTTGGAACATTTTTAGAGTCTCCCTGACGATTTTCATATTAAATTTGTTTAGCTGTTTTGATAAGTTTTGGATAGGTTTGTTTTTTGTTTTGATAAGTTTTAGATATACTTGTGTCATATATTCAGTGACAAAGACGTTGGTAGTAAATTTCTTGATGTACAGTAGTGAACGCATATTCTTGGCTGATATGCTGATACTTTTGGTAGTCCATTGTTTGTGATATTTTTTAATTGTAATTAAAGGAAATGCCTTATTGAAAATACAGACAAGCCTATCTAAAAATCACTGAAAGAAAGTCAACGTCCACAGAAGAAAAGTACCACCCAGAAGTCAAGCATAAATTTTGGAATTTACGAAAGTTTTGAGCGGAAAAAATCCTACCTAAACGTCGGGTTTTCAAGGCTGGTTTGTTAAGAGTGTTAAACCTAGTATATACTGCTTTATGATCAGATAGTTCTGCATTAATAACTGTAGAGCGTACATCAAGGGGTGAGAAATCTGAGACAATATAATGAATTATGGTAGATGGTGTTTTAGTAATTCTTGTAGAAGAATTAACGTGCATTCTGCATTGTGATACCATATGATTCGAATATATTAACCAAGGCTAGTTATGTAGCACAAGCAACAGTATAATTATTATTTAAATCACTGTATAAAATTTTTCTGCTTTTATTGGGCAGGTCATGTAACAAATTTAGCATGTTTTGAACAAATAATTCCATGGAAGAATCAGGTGATCAATAAATGCAAAGAATGTATAGATTAAGATCCTTTATAGATCTTAAAGATATATTACTTTTTCAGATGCTATTTTTATAAATTGCACCAAATATTATACTTAAGATCTTTTGCACGTTTGCACTTAAGATATTTAAATAAGCTGTTTAAATAATAATTGGAGCCAAACATAGTTCTAGCACTGATTATAAACCACCCATGGTGGTGGTTTATAATCAATGGTTCTAGCAAAATTCGGTTACAGGTCGAAAAAAGACTAATTGCAAGTTGGACTATTAACAAATATCAAGTCATAGTCTCCTTGTACTCCCAACCTTACTTGATATGTTTAACAAAGTTAAGATTAAATTGTAAATCTGGATTTGTTTCAGAGTTGGAAGAAATAGCAACAAATTTTCTCTAAGGACTTCTCCTACCAATGGCTCAGCATCGGTGTCCTCTCCCTATATGCACTGCACAGGCTCGATGGGACAAACACGCCATCTGTTCGTTAGGCGCGGTGAGCGCCGTATGCACTATGACGGATCAACTTTTATTGTCCGAAACGCCGGACATTCTGCCGGATTCGACGAAAAGCACCAGCTAAAAGTTTACTAGTTCTTCATTTCGTTACAATGGCTGGTTTCAAATTTTTTCTCATTGATGGGGAATCTCCAGTCATTCTTTAGTTGATTATTGTGTTCAGAAGAATTTTGCTATTAGTTTATAAAAATTTCAGTATCTATTTCATTGTGTGATGGAATTTGGCTCAAGGGTTTTTATTTTTAAAGTGGATTTATAAAGCCGTTATAAAATAATCCAGGAGTTCGTAAGAGAGCAACTTATAAAATTGATCAAAGTTAGTATCTTTCTACGAATATACTTCTAAAATAATACCATTGACGTACATTCGGATATTAGTCAGTTCTTTGCCATCAATAAAATAGTGCTTTTTAGTAGTAAATACATAGTTTTAGTACAAGTTATTAGATATGAACATGCGAAGTGGATTTCTAAGCGATTTCTTCCATCGTATATATTTGTCATATCTCTCTCGATGGATCTGGCCTATCAAAGACCAACACGTCATTTAATTAATTTCAAAATTGATATACGCATTATATAATAATAACTATTTCAGGCAATCTATTGTATTTTTTAGAGGTTACATAGCTATCACGAGTCAATATATTTTCGTCTTTTTTTTAATCTAGATTATGCATACATTTTATAGCTATATGACCTCTAAAAGCCCCAATCTTCAAGTCAGAAAAAAGTTTTAGTTTTGAATTTTTCTCAATTCTATCTTTAAATGATATAAAATAGGATTACTATCTACAATGATCGTGAACTGAAGGTTTATGGTTTCATTCAGGATCAAGGAGCAGGATCAGGATCAAAGCTTCAAGGATTCTTTTGACAGGTTAATTGGTACACTAGATTTTGCTAAATTACTAGGTGATCATCTTTGGATATTATCTGGTTATATAACAGTTAAATTTACTAATTGATGTATTGTGTTTTTATATATTTGCCTTAGTTCTAGTATTTGCTAATTCTTAGTTTACCCATCATCATAACCATTACGCAATCTTCGCGTATACATCGCTGAACATAGATCTCCCTCATAACTTTCCATCTTTTTTAGTCCTGTGTCGCTTGCATCCAGTTTTTGGAAATGATCTATATGTTCAGTCATTCGTGTGCGTGGACGGTCTTTCTTTTGGTACGCAACATCGCACGTTGCACTTTGACTTACTCTCACTTTCTACCGTGTCATGGTCAGGGTTTCCGCTGTAGCTGAACACTGTTAAGACAGAATTGACAGAATTTAATTCTTTTCAGATTCGAAAACATAGGTCAACTTTCCGAAAAGAAGTCAGTCTTATACAACAAACAAATGCTATGGTTGTTATTTCTTATCGTTTTTATTTCTTATCGTAAGATATTTATATCTATAGATATTGATATAATTCTAATTATTTTCTAATAGTTTCGTGATGTATTTTTGTAAAAACCCCGTCTATTTGGCTTATTCAATTAGCTTTTATTTAGTAGAAATTTTACTTGCATACATTTAATTTACAGCAGTGTTAAAATGCTGTTAGCTCTGCTCGGTCCCTTAGATTAACGAAATAGTTAATTTCGGTTTCGTTAATCTAAGCTCGGGACTTACTGTTCATCTGGAAGTGCTGCTAAGTACTTATCTACAGCCGCGTTGACTTCTTGATTTGACGAAAAGAGCTGACTAGTGAGGGATACCTTTAGATTTGAGAATAGATGAAAGTCCGAGGGTGCCAAATCTGGAAATATTGGCAATTGGCGGATGTATTGTCTCGATGTGGAAAAACATATCTTTTTTTCTTTAAATCTTTATTGCGTTCACGAATGTTTGCATCCATCTTCAATAAATATTGAGGGTAATATTCTCGGTTTATTGTTTTATTAATAAATAGAACCAAACCAAACAGTTTTTTATAAAACAATTATTTTCCCATCCTCTGTTCACATTTGCTGTACTTTTCCAATTTTTCCGCAAATACCGGGAATGTGATGTTGTCGACTTTAAAGAAGTCTTAACTGCCAAGGAAGATAATTTTATAAACGTTCAGTTTCTTTCCACAAATAATAACCATTCCTGGATCTGGAAATTCATACTGCCTTAATAGTAATTCACTAATTTTTTCTTTACTAATGTCTTTTTCTTTATTTAAAGCTAATTTTTTAGTAACATTTACTATACTATGCTTTCCATCCGTAGATGTTAACACTTTTACATGAATTTTTGGACCCAAAAACCTGGAATCTGAAGTAACGAGAATCATGAGTTTCATTAGGTGCTAATGCAACTTCCAACAAAAACAGATTTTTTTCGTAAAATATGAACGTGTTAGTCAGACATAATAGCATTGAAATGCCGGTTATTGATGGTTATAAAGTACTTTACATTTTATTACATAGTTTAAATACAATTTTTGAAAATAGTTGGAGGACTGTCTAGACTAACAATAAAGCCTCAACATTTAACTATCATTATTGGTGTTGAAGAATATTTATTGGTGGATTTGGCTAACCTCGTATATTGGTGTTTAGGTCTTAATATTCCGTAGTTAACGTTAGTTTCTATGACTATAAAGATAATTGAAAAAAGCATGAAGAGAAGTTACAGCAAATCGTAGAATTCAGAAAATTGGAAAATATCAACATAATTTGGCACACCCATGTAAAACATCGACATAAAAATAGATTTTTGGGTCTAAAAATTCATGTAAAAGTGTTAATATCTGCGGATGAAAAGCAAAGTAGAGTAAATGTTACTAAAAAATTAGCTTTAAATAAAGAAAAAGACATTAGTAAAGAAAAAATAGTTAATTACTATTAAGGCAGTATGAATTTGAAGATCCAGAAATGGCTATTATTTGTGGAAAGAAACTGAACATATTATCTTCCTTGGCAGTTAAGACTAATAGAATTATTTAAAGTCAACAAAGTCAACATTACATTTTCAGTGTTTGTGGAAAAATTGGAAAAGTACAGCAAATGTGAACAGAAGGTGGGAGGAATAATTCTCAGTTTATGGTTTTACCATGATAGTTAATCCCCATCTTCTTCACCATTACATAGTCCCACCTCTTTCTTAATTAAAAATTCCTCTGATTCTCTAGTTTAGTGTCATGGTTATTTCGATGTTGCACTCTACTTATGATATTTTACCTGATGTCTTTCGTGTATGGTCCTTATTACTCGTAACGATTTTTATGTTTCATACACATTCTTTATTGGACTTCTTAGTACATGGTTTAGTTTTTCAGAATGTCCACATTTCATGTGTTTTTGTCTCAATAGATATGTTATGCTGGAAGATAAATTTAAACAATTGGGTTATACTTATTGCCACAAAATACCATCATTGGTAAGAATTCGGTTAAATACAATCAATGATATAATAAACATATTGTTAAATTCGAAAGATTATATTCAAAATATTTTTTTTAAATATCAAGAACATATATTTTTCAAAACCAAATTGTTTTTAAATGTATTTTACATTTCGCTGCTATTCATGCAGCTAAACTAAGAACAAAAATATTCTCGATGGTAATAAATGATATTATAAAATGAAGACTACGATTAGATGTAAGATTTAAATGAGACAATCTGATAATTTACTTTGATCATTGTGTAAACTTCATATAAACGACTTTGATAAACAAAGTAAATACGAGACTTACCCTTGAGCCAAACAAAAATAATTTTATAAAAGTAATATTTATCCCAAAGACCTCTCGTATTCTTTTCGTTAAATTGATGTTTTTTGATTAAACGATAAATATACGAAAGGTAGCGATTTTTTACCTTTACAAAAAGTGTATGTAACATCAATTTGGTAGCAAAATTATGGAAGGTGTCAGCTTTATTTAAGTTTGCTGTTTTTACCTGTGATACCAAATTTCATGACGAAATAAAAGCGTTTGAAATTTGTAAATAAATAATGATGAATATAAACAAAGAAGTTTCTATTATTTTTTTACAGTTTATTTGCTATTTGAGATTAATAAGTAAATAAGTTTAATGCAAAAATAGGTTAAGTAGAAATCACTTCGAAAAAGGGGGAGAGACAAGGAAGGAGCCTCCCCGTAGAGAGTAATGTTACTATAGTGTATTTTTATGTATGAGAGAGTAATAAAACAATAAATTATGTATGCAAATCCCTAAACTGTTGATACGGGTGACTCAATGAAAAACAGATATTTGTCAACAAGTTTACAGAAGTATATAGGAAAACAATTTTAAATTGAGTATGACCACCAGGTATAAAGGTTGGAGCAGAATAGAATACAATAGTTGTGAGGGTTACTAATCCCTAAATAAGGTTGCCAGTGTCGGAGTGATGGAGGTTAACAGGTACTAATGAATTTGCAAGAAATGTAAGATGTTTATTTTATTGGTTATATATAACCAATAAAAGTTTAATACAGTCTGTCCCAAACTCTTTTTTCAGTGGGTCACTAATTTTAACGTCATATAGGATTTTAAGAATGTCGAGAATTATTGTATGACATTTTAGTTAAATCTGACAGTTGCAGGATCGTAATCGGCTAAACGTGAAAAGGTTATTTTTTTTTAATGCATAGCAGTTTTTCATAATTCTATTCTATTCTGTTCTATTTTATGCATTCCATGGAAAGTGCTTAATTAGCTAAGATTTGTTTATGGATTTATTATTATTTATTACAAACACTAGGGAATTGGAAGGTTTGTTTATTTAAAATAACGCTTCCTCCTAGAATCTTTTAAGAGTTGACTGCAAGGTAAAAAAATTTACTGACAATTGCATGGCATCAAAGTAAACATTCCTGTGATAAAATAATATCGATTTAAATCAGTCATATTTAGATAAGTAATTTTCTGATAAGTTTCTGTGGCAGCCAATAGTTTAATTTTGTGAAGAGTTGTCATTAAATAGTGGAAATAGTTTAAATAGTGAAGCAGTTGATTTTTAAGTTATTCTACCAGATTTGGTGTGCAAATGAAAGAAGGTTATAAAGTTTAGTTAAAAAAAAAAAACAATATAAATAGTTTAAATAGTGAAGCAGTTGATTTTTGAGTTAATCTACCAGTTCCGATATCCAGATGAAATCGTGCTAATGGAGTTTAGTTAAAAAACAAGATACCGAATGTAAGTTTACCTTCTTTTTATGAATAACAAAAATGAATATTATATTTCAAACAATCTATACTTAATCCCATTCAGAATCTGATTCTTGAAAATCAATGATTACACTAGATATGTGGCTGGTATCAATTATATCCTACATTTCAAGAAAATGTCGTGGTTCTAAAAAGAACCGTTTTAATACATATAAATATCCATAAAGGCATTAGTTTAAGATATTTCCTCCTTCCGGAATTCACAATCTGATTCGCGAACGACAGAAACTGATAATAAAGATGTCTCAGCCTCTTTTTCTAATTGAAACTAATTTAATAATTTTAATATTAGTCTTTTTTCATTCTCGGTATATCTCGGAGTATTTAAAATATTTTTATGACAATAAATACAAAATTTAATTTTCACTGTAGTTAAAATGCATCGAGCAAAAAGACAATAGAGGGAATGTAAAGGTAGTGGGGGCAAACATATTGTTAGACAGGAAGTGCGATCTTTAGAGGCCACATTAAACAAGGAAAGAGAGTCTCTCTCCTTGTTTGACATCAAATTTAGTTGGGTTATGTTATTGTTTGTCCCAAATGTCACATGAAATCTTATTTATATTGAAGTTTTTTAACAATTGTGTCGCATTTTAGACTCTTATCATTAATAATTAATTAAAACTTTCTCGTCTAAGACACATTCTGAAAAATATTATATAACTACTGTTGATAAGTGTCGGAAAATTTAAATTTCGCGCATTCGCATTTCCGGATATGTCCGCCATCAGAAATCCACTTTTTGGTCTCCTTTTCATAACGATTAGATTCCCTCTTTTGTCTTATTGCTCGATGTTAAAATGTCTGAAAATACTAACCTGGAATGGCAATTATCATTTTATCAGTTGACATTGTGAAAGTACTGTCACTGTCATTATCAAGATAATCTGTGTCAAATTATATTTATATGCATAATTGATTGGATATCTATTTAGCGTATTCTAAACTCCAACCAATTATACGTTCGTAAGTAGAATTCGCTTTAATATGCGAATACCGTGAACGATACCTAATTTTCTAAGTTCTATTTATAATAATCAACGACTCACGTTTTTTTCTGTCACTTCTAGCTTAATGCGTTAGAGAGAATTCAAACAACTATGACGCACTGAAAGAAGGGTTTGGGACGGACTGTAAGTACCTACCTATTTGCAAAATAAAGTTTAATTCTTTAGATAAAATAAAACGTTTTATTTTATCTGAAATGAGTGCATTCCACGAAGTAAGGGTTTCAACAATCAAACATTTAATTCTTTAATTCCAGGAATCTACGACAGTAATTGACTAGATAATTACCTTCTAAACTTATTCCACAGAAAATGTGAAAGTGGGTTTTTCCATTTTGTAGGAAGGTCCAAGTGGCGTATTCAAAATTCTTAACAGTTCACTAAAAGTAGGTACTTCAGTTGCAAGGTGCAGTTTATTGTGTAGATATACTAGTGTTATGGAAAATTTGGAAGTGCCGTGTAAACGCCTAAAAATTGGTCCTTTAACAGTTAATGAAAAAACATTAATATTTAATTGTTTTAAATCATTTACAGACAAACGTTTATGTGAAAGTGTTGATGAGACCGTTGAGTTAGTTAGCAGTACACTTGGTGTTGGGAAATCTACGATTTACAGAGTTATTAAAGAAGAGAAATGTGGTAGTTTTCAAATGCCACGTAATGCTCCAGGGAAACCAAAATTTCAAATAGAATATCATTTTAAAGAAGGACTTCGACGGAAAGTGCATGAATTATTCTTTAGACAAGAATTTCCAACATTGGATAAAGTTCTTGTCTTAGTTCGAGATGATAAGGATTACCCAGAAATGAGTCGAAGTACGTTATGGAGACTTTTAAAAGAAATAGGCTTCCGCTGGAAAAAGAATCCCAGAAAGTCTATTTTATAAGAAAGAAGCGATATTGTCATGTGGAGAAGACATTTTCTAAGAACCATAAAGGAAATGAGAAACCATAAAAGAAAAATATTTTATCTTGATGAAACATGGATCAACGAGGGTCATACACCAAATAAATTTTGGCAGGATGAAACTGTTATAAGTCAAAGGCACGCTTTTGTAAATAACCTATCTACTGGTTTAAACCCACCATCAGGAAAGGGACGCAGGCTGATAATAGTACACATTGGCAGTTTAGATGGTTTTGTTGAAGGTGGTTTATTAACTTTTGAATCAACTCGTACCGGTGACTACCATGAAGAGATGAACGCTGATGTCTTTCAAGAATGGTTCGAACAAATGATAGATCTTCTTCCTAAGAACTGTGTAATAGTAATGGATAATGCAAGTTATCACTCCAGACTTATAGAAGGACTGCCCACAACCAAGTGGTTAAAAAAATACTTGCAGAATTGGCTGAGTTCAAAAAATATTACGTACCATCCCGGATCTATAAGAAAGGAACTTTATTCGTTGTGTGCCCTTCATAAAGAAAAATTTAAAAATACGAAATTGATGAAATTGCCAAAAATCGTGGAATGACAGTACTTAGATCCCCACCATATCATTGTGAATTAAACCCGATTGAACTGATATGGGCACAGATAAAGAGTGAAGTTTCAAGAAAAAATACCACTTTTAAAATTCATGATGTTAAACAGTTGTTTTTGGAGGCCGTAAATAATGTAAAACCTAAAAACTGGGAAAAGGCAGTAAATCACACTATTAAAGAAGAGGAAAAAATGTGGAAGCTGGACAATATTGCTGATAAAATGATCGAGCCAGTTATTATAAATCTTGGTTCTGAAAGTTCATCTTCTGAATCTGATTTGGATTTGTAACAAGTAGCTGTAAGTTTTATATTAATATTTTTATTCATCTATTTAACATACCTTAGACGGTTTTAAAAACTCTTTTTCTCTTTTGTAATTTTTAAAAATTAAAAAAAATGTGAATTTTTTAAAACCCTTTTTAATGTAGGCCAGTCAGTTCTAATATAGTGTGTGATAAAAGAGGTCACTTTTGTTTACATACACATAACACTTTATAACACTGAAATAATTCATTTATTTTTTACAATTATTCAAAGTAATTTTTCAATTAATCTTGAGCACGCCCATGGAGTGGTCGGAGGTACCAGTTAAAATTATGCTAATTACTCTCTCGTTCATAAAAATAAACTATAGATCACTTTCGGGCATGCCCTAAAAACGATAAGTTTTGTTTGTCGACTAATCCTGTAAGGTATCTGGAGGTAGGTTTTTTTTAATGCTAAGAGAGAATAGAGGAACATATCTTTACTAAGCGGAGATCCAGTTTATTCTAGTTTTTTTTAAATATAAAAATGTGTTTTTGTAATTACTTACGAGTCGCTAACACAGCACTTGTGGCTCTAGAAATGAGGACACTTTTACTTATAAAATAACCATACAATTACTCCATATAATAAAATACACAATCTTGAACCAGTTAAATATTAAATAATTTTTAATATTAATTAATTTTTCTAATACATATAAAGGAAATCTTAATAATTACTCTTCACCATATCACAATCCACCACCAATGTATGGGGATATGCACAGGAAGACAGAAATAGAGAGGCTGTCTTAATCTAGGCCGAAAATTAACATATGTTGTTCATTCATGACAGAAAGCTATCTTCATCCTTTAATACTAGAAGATGACAATATGGATATAGCCCAGACCTTTTCTTTGTGAGTAATAACAGCCCATCAAAGTATTATGGGATTTAATCATGAGAACATAACATCAAGAAATAATTTTAAAAAAGTACTCTGGCCTAGTTTTACAAAGCTGCAAGACGAAAAAGTCCAACATATAGGGC